AAAGTGAATAAAGATTGAATTTCTGTATTGGGCTTGACAATATTGTTTTTCCTTCCCCATACCAATAGCAAAGGTCAGGCATTGGAGAAAATCAACTACCGATCTAAAACGAGTACATAAAAAACTAATAATGTGTGTGTGTGTATATATATATATATATATATATATATATATATATATTATATATAATATATATATATATATATATTATTTTTTTTCACATTGCTGTGAAAACCACCTGCACCCAATACTTTTTTCTTTTTTCTGAACAAAGCTTGCACAATTTTAGTCGGGAGGGTGAGCGGATTGGGTATCTTGTAACACGTGTCTAGCTGGTTTGAGTCTTATTGAATGTAGATGTTTAAAAGATGTTGCACCAGTCTCTCGCGCACGCGCGGTGTGCGACTGCATTAGCAAACGATCGTTGGAAGGCAGCCCTCGCAGCATTTGTTCCCCATGAGATTAAGGCCGCTAAAGTGACACTGAAATCTACCATGTGTCTCCTCGACAGAGATGGAGCGATGCTCCAGCAACTTTAGCCCAATATACTGCTGTAGTGCTAATCTGATCCCTGATCAGTGCAACCATTTAAGGAATTGTCTCTGATACTCGTGGGTTAGAGGGTAAGCTGTACCCAGCATGTGGTTTGGCAGGGTAATTTTATAAATGTACAATTATTAGTGTTAGAAATTGTTTATGTATCACAAGGTGTTGAGGTTACTCCTAAAGAGTGTTTGTTGTGATGTATTCATTGTGATAAAGTTATAACCATGAATCAATCAATACTAGTAATACAAGAAGCTCAGACCGCTGCGTGCGATGAGGTGTAAAAATAAATTCTGCCGCCTGCCAAAGAGCAACGGCAGTTGTTAACGACTCAACACCGGTAGGGCGGTACGTGAAAAATTCATACCGTAAGAATATCATATACCGGTGTTTATTTTTCGGTTAGTTTAAATAACTTATTAATAGCCTGACCCAGCCTTGTGGTTATTTGTTTCCAATAGTCAGCGATTCACCTTTTTTTATTTTCTTAGACATACACAAGTAACATAACGTAATCTTGATATGGATCAAAGTAATTGATTGATTACAAAATACTGGCAGGACCCTTTGCGGGTTTCTTGTTTGTCAGCATGTTGCTTTATTACTAATAGTTGTGTAATGGTTTCAGGCAATGTAACGGCTTCAAATGTTGTCCTTTTATCAGATAAATTCTTAGACTAATGCATGCAACTAATCAATTAGGGTCTGTATGCCCCCCCCCTCCCCGACCTCCAAGAGTTAAAGCAGGGGGGAGGAAATTAACTCGAGGCACACTACCTAAATGTATGGTAGAGCACACATGGTAATTAATGTATTCTCCCATTACAATACAGTGTTCAGTGTGAGCACGTGGATAATCGGTGTCCTGAAATTAGTGATGGGAAGACCGGACCGTTTTACTGACTCGGTTCTTTGAATGGGGCAGTGTTAATTTTGGCAGCTATTTTTGATTTAGTCTTAGTCTTAGTCTTTAGACGAAAAATGCATATTAGTTTTAGTCAAATTTAGTCATTTTAATCCTTCTTTGTTTTAGTCTAGTTTTCGTCGACGAAAACTCAGAACATTTTAGTCTAGTTTTAGTCGACGAAAACTAGACTAAAATGTAACTAGAAAATGCATTTCCTGCTGAAAATGCGTTGGAATGCAAAAAGCTGAAAGCTGAAATGAATTTTTAAAAATAGCTGAAAATACAGAAAGTTGAAGGGATTTTGAACACATTTGCTGAAATGACAGATATTAGAAAAGATGAAATTAATTTGAAATTGCTGAAAATACAGATATGGGAGAAGCTGCATGGAATTTCAATAGATTTGCTGAAAAAGCAGAAATGAAAACAGCTGAAATAAATGTGAAATCTTGCAAAGAAATACAGAAATGAATATTAAAACATTGCTGTTAAAAGAGGCATAAGAAAATTATTTTAAAGAATTGCTGAAAATACAGGAAGTGGGGAAGCTGAATTTTAATAGATTTTCTAAAAAAATATAGAAGTTGCAGGAGCTTAAATGAGTTAAAAAAATACAGAAATAACAAAAGCTGAGATGACTAAAAATTGGTTTAAAATAGTTTGTAGTAATATTAGTTATTATTGTAATTGTGGTATAAGTAGTACTAGCTGTAGAAGTAGGTTTAGTATCAATAGCAGTAGAAACAGCTGTAATACTAATAGCCATAGTAGTATTTGTAATAACATTTAGTAGTAGTTGTAGTATTAATAGCAGTAGAAGTACTAGTAGTATGGTAGTAGAAGTATCAGTTGTAGTACTACTAGAAGTACTAGTAACATGCTTAGTGGTTGTAGTAGTATTTGAAAGAGCAGTACGTATTTCAATGAAACCGCTTCATGGTTAAGGTACAGATAATCATTGAGGCTTTTATTTTGTAATGATGGAATCGGGTGAGGGGGGGTTGGGAGACAGAATGTTTGTTATTCAAACTAAGAAGTTTTTAATTAATAGGCCTCATCACAAACATTACAGTAAGAATTCCCTCCATGGGGCTTTTATTTTGAAATTATTGGATTGGGTGGGGTGGGGGGTGTAGATAGAGAGAGGGAGGGTGAGAGGGTGAGGAAGGGAGGGGTGGTGAGGAAGAGATAGAGAGGGAGAGGGGAGGAGAAATAGACACGGCCGGTTTCCACGGTCTGTAGATGCTGTCTAATCAGCTGAGATAATTAGCTAATGAATTAATCACCAGCATGTGTCCTGGGTTGCTACAACAGAAATATGGATGCCAACAGAGATGTAAGCCCTACCAAGGGACGCACATTTGTTGACCAGAAGACCAGCTGGCGCTCGGCAAACTCCAGACATGCACCCTGAGGCCCCCCTCCCCCACAACCGTGGTGTCTAACCCTTCACCTGGCAGGAATTCACTCGTTGAAGCAGATTTTAGTGGAAATCTTAGTGGATCTTAGCAGCGCAACTATAACTCAGTGGCTGTACGTTTATATCTATCCGTCGAGGCCACCAACAGGTTAGTGATGCTCTGCTCGGCCGCGTGGCAGAAATTCTGCACGACACTCACTCACCGGCTGGTGTTATGACTAAGCTGCCGGCGATCACGGCCTTACTCACCCAGTGGTGTTGTGGGGCTGCTGCTGAGTCAGAGAGCTGCCTGCAGACAATGAGGGAGAGTGTGGGGAGGGAGGGGGGGGGATTCTCATTCACAAATCCTCCAGTAGTAAGCTAGACAGGAAACTGCACATGTGGCAGGTGACCAGTGAGGAAAGCAACGAGAGCTGTGTAGGGAGCCCAAAATACATCATTGTTCTTTAGCGTCACCATGTTTTTGTCACGATGTTGATAGTTTCTTAAAATTGTTTGTTTTCCCTAGGTTTACAACTTCAGGGGGGGTTAGTTTGTCCGCTGATGCGAGTGCCACGAGCGCGTATACACCAAGATATTTGTGTCGGTGCAGAACTGGGTTGGGAGAACATATTTTTATATACATATTTTAAAAAAGAATGTGGTGTATCGTTACTATGGTGGAACGTTTTAGTAGGGCGTTGGGGTTAGTTGAAGTCTCTTAACCTTGACTTTACCACAGACCTTATATCAGGCATTTAACCTATACACACATTTAAAAAGGACTCCTTCCTGCAGCACTGTATTGCCCAGTCCTCCTCAGTTTGACCCTATCTCGGCAGACACTCCGATGTCGTCTCCTCACAACTAGGCTGCACGGACACCGTCGACATTACTCGCCACTCTCCGTATTTTAGTCCGTTGCCTCACCCAGGTTCTCTATCTCATGCAGACATACTCACTTTCTCTCTCATCACAATTCTTTCCCTTTCTCGCTGTAGTCTGACCAGCTGGACAGAAAGAATGACTTGGTTTATCTCCCCCTCCTCTCAGTCAGGGGCTTTTGCTTTGCTGTTGCCTAGCAACTTCAGCCGAAGCACACATCGGTCGCTTGCTGTGTGTGTATGTGAGAGACTCCATATTGACAAGGCAGGCTGAGGACAGACCAGCCCTTCCTCTGAGCTCCCTCCCCCGGATCGGCTGCCAGCCTTTTGTGCGACCGGCAGCGGCCCTTACACACGTTGTGGCATTGTTCATCTTGAGGCTCAGACACACACACATACAATCCAGGTTGGACAGAGACCTGACCTAATGATCCCCCGTTGCATGTCAACACCATAATCTGCTCATTATTTTTTTCAATTCACTGTTTCGTCATGAAGACTGTCTGACTGAAGAACAATCTTAAGTGAAGAGTTGACGTAATAATGAATGGAGAATTGGCACGGTGTGTGTGCATGTGTGTGTGTGAAACCCTGCTAAAGGCGATAGGGTTTGAGTGCAGACACGCCTCCTCCTACTCGACACTGCCTCCTCCCGTCCAGCAGTCAATGGTGGGTGAGTCACAGGCTCAGATTTCTGTGCGCCTCAGCCTCTTTTACATTACATTATCCAAAGCGACTTACAAGAAGTGCATTTCAACCACGAGGATACAAACTCAAAAGAACAAGAAACAAAGGGCAATTTCATCAATTTGTCGCACTCATCCATCTGGTTCTCGGAGCCTTGCAGGGATTGGTCGGAAAGTCTATGGGGGGGTGGATGGGGTTTACTGGACTCTCTACACACTTCATCCATCTTACTTTCAACCTGTCAGTAGAAGTTCTACCTTCTGTAGCAGGCCGATCGAAGGCTCCCGTTGCTTACCCGTGTGTGAAACTGCTTGTTGGGAATAAGAGTGTGAGTTGATTCATGTTGTCCTGTTATGCTAGGGCTTAGATCGCTACTGGATACCTTTTTTGAGGTACCAACCGGAATGACCTATGGTCGGTATAGAAACCTGCCATCAATCCTTTTTTTGTTCCTTCTGACTGGACTTCGGCCAATTGTGCTATAAATATGTCTTTTGTGTCTGCATAATAATGCACGGACAATGTGAAGTAGATAAATTAAATCAGAGGTTTAAATGGATTTGTTGTTGTGTTACAGGCCAGAAAACGTGTCTCCACCTCCATGGCGTGTTCCCCTACATCTACGTACCATACGATGGTCACAGCCAGCAGCCGGAGCGCTATCTGCGGCAGGTGGCCTTCAGCATCGACAGGGCCCTCAACGCTGCCATGGGAAACCCCTCCTCTAGTGCCCAGCACGTTTTCAAGGTGGTTCTGGTCTCTGGCATGTAAGTGACTCATGATTTTCTGGTCGTACCAACACAACCGAGCCGATGGATGCCGGGATTACAGAAATGGGGCAGAAAGCATTTTTAGAAGAATTCACAAAATATAAAAGGGTGACATCCTTATAACACTATATGCTTTACAGGTTTACATGTTAATGTGGTCCGTCTCTTGTCTCATTCAGGCCTTTCTACGGCTACCATGCTAAGGAGAAGCACTTTATGAAGATCTATCTGTACAATCCTCAGATGGTCAAAAGGTAAAGTTGGCGATTAATGCCCTTAAAGGCGGGCGGGCGTGTGTGTGTGTGTGTGTGTGTGTGTGTGTTAAATTTGCATGGAAGAACACAGGACAATTATTTGCCAGAGCCGAGTGACTAATAGAGAGGGAGGGGCAGAGCCTTGAGCTGCTTTGTGAATGCATGCTGTTCTGTCCAGTAGGGTTCTGAAATACAAGCTTTCTTTTTCCCTGTCTGGGCATTCAAGATGGATTTTAATGAAGCCCTCCACGGGTTTTAAATGTCAAAGGCAATTTGATGACGTCTGAGCCTGTTAAAGCAGTTTTGTAATGTCTCTGAAGGAGCTCTCTGATTCCAAAGGCCCTTTCGCTCTTTAGATTACAAATGAACCGAGGATATACTGATTTATTATTTTGATAACAAAAACATTTAATCTGTTTGTATCAGGTTTTGTATTTGTTTCTTATACTTTGCTGCTTTCTTACCTCTGTATGACAATGTTTAAGTCATACCTGACTACCTGGAGAGGAGCTTATAAATTCAACTTTAGTGTCAGTCTGTCAGATGAATAATCTGATCCTGACGTTAAATACTGAACAAATACAGATCAGCTATGTCTGAGCAGATGAAAAAAATGGAGACTGAAAGACGAATCTTGGGTTAAAAATGGTGGCTTTTGATACTTTAGGAAAATGATCGAGCAAGTCCAGTTGCAGTAACGGATGTTCAGGCCTTTCCGACAGAACGCTGTCTTGTCGGCATCGACAGGCAAGGTGAACTGAGTTAATATTATAAAGTAAATACGGCGAAAATACGCATTCCCAAGTTCCGGTAGCTTGTCAAAGTTAAATTGTAGAAAGCAATCAAATTGAGCATGGTTGGTTGTATCATAGTGGTCCTGCCTTTAGCAACAGCTGTTTATTGATCCTGAAGGGACAAACTAATCGTCCTCCGTTCCATAGCAGCCCCCCAGAAACTATACACTATTGTGTTTCTAAGGGAACGCCCACTTTGACTGCTAGGAACCTCGGCGTCACACTCGACAGCCAACTCTCCCTGACTCCCAACATCACTGCGACAACATGATCCTGTAGATACACGCTCTACAACATCTGGAGAATACGTCCCCTTCTCACTCAGAGGGCACCGCAGGTACTGATTCAGGCTCTTGTCATCTCCCGCCTGGACTACTGTAACTCCCTCCTGGCAGGTCTCTCTGCTACCGCCATTCAACCTCGGCAGCTCATCCAGAATGCAGCAGCTCGACTGGTCTTCAACCTTCCGAAATTCTCCCACATTACTCCACTCCTCCGCTCTCTTCACTGGCTACCGGTGGCTGCCCGCATCCAGTTCAAAACATTGGTGCTCACGTACCATGCTGTGAATGGATCGGGTCAAACTTACATCCAGGACATGGTCAAACCCTACATCCTGACCCGCACTCTCCACTCTGCATCTGCAAAACTGCTTGTTCCTTCTCACTGAGAGCAAAACACTCCACTAGATCACGACTCTTTGCTGTCCTTTCTCTGAAATGGTGGAACGAGCTCTCTGATGACACCAGGACCGTAGAGAGCCTTCACATCTTCCACCGCAAACTAAAGACACACCTCTTCAGACTCTACCTCCACTAAAACACTAACAAATTGTAGCACTTAAGTGGCATTATAAGTACAATTTATCTATAGCAAATTGTAAATTGGCTTATTTGATGAACTTGTTTCTTGCTCTTCTGATTTTGTATCACTATGGTTGAATGCACTTGTGAGTTGTGAATTGTAAGTAGCTTTGGATAAAAGCGTCAGCTAAATGTCATGGAATGTAATGTAGATGTCTTAAATAAGTTAGCCCCTGGATGTCTCTCATTAGAGTAACTTTGTGTTGCAGGGTGTGCGAGCTGTTGCAAAGTGGAGCAGTGATGAACAAGAGCTACCAGCCTCACGAAGGCCACATCCCTTACCTGCTGCAGCTCTTCATTGACTACAATCTGTACGGCATGAACCTGGTTAATTTGGGAGCCGTAAAGTTCCGCAGGGGCCCGAGCAAAGGTAAGGAACAAAAGTCCCTGCTGGTCCCTCGACTCGAGGATTCAAGGATAGTTCATTGTCATGCATTGTGCATGGGAATGCACAAAGAAATGCACTTCAGAGGACCAGAACTATCCCTTTCATTCTGGGGGAAATTATCTAGAAAAACACTCTTATTTTGAGAGCGAGGTACAAATTGAATTGAAGCCGTGATCGGCTACACCTAGTGACACAAGGTAGGTGTGGAACCCTTCCAGCAGGCACTTGGGCAGTTGACTCACTAACAAATTTCTTGCATTCATGCATTCTTACTGGTGACATCGTGCTCCACTTGTTTTGTTTCCACTTTTTGGATGTGGCCTACTTCTGCCATTCCAGGAGACACACTGCTGTCTCTTGTCTCTTGCTGGACACGTTGAGGGATAGCTGGGTTTTTCTCTCTACTCACTGCGTAGCCCCTCCTCCCCTGGGCCGCCATGCCTTGTCATATCCAATTAGTCTAGAGCTCACCTCAGCCTCTGGGGGCTCTGTTGTCATCTGGTAGCTCTCTGTTTTCATCTCCAGTGTTGCCCTCTTGCTTCCTTTCACATGTCATTTGAGGTCTGCTCTCTTTTTTCCCTCTTGCTCGCTCCCTCTGCTCACAGGTCTGAAATTCTTCTATTTTACTTTCCCTTTTCCCTTTTTGGTCAGCCCCACTGTATCTCCCTGCTCTACTTCGGCCAATTTTGGCGTTCTCCGCGCTGCTCATCAAGGAGGCAGAAGTTGGAACTAGGGGAAGCACACTCTGCCTCCTGGAAATTATTCCAGGGAGTTTCTACAGAAGAATACAAAAAAAAAAGACTCGAAACATGTCACGATAACAAAAGCGCAAATATTCCGTGGATGTAGCAGTCTTGTCTAAGTGACTGTACAGACACGCACATAAGAGCTGTATCTTCTACAGGTGACTGCTGGCACCAGGCGAAAAGTTGCACGTGAACTATAGGATAAGAAGACTGCATGTCATAAGAGGACATTTTCACCAATCAGACCACAACCTTTTTCTCTAAGTGAAGATAAGGAATACCTGCAGTTTGCATAATCAGGTTGAAATTCATCCACATATTATTAGGGCTGTCAACATAAACGCGTTAATCTACGTGATAAATGTGGCCGAGATTAATGCAAATATTTTAACGTAAGTTAGTTTACTTCCGTAAGTAAACCGGAAGTTGACCGTGGAAACAAAACGGACGCTAACTGCATCAAGATGAAGAGAGCTTTTTGAATTGAAAGTAAAAAACACAGGCGCGACATACAGCGGAGAACTGTGCGGAGAAATTACTCCATGTGTCAAACAGAAGGGGGTGAGTTACAAACAGACCACTTAAAGCGCTCCTAGGCTATGCTAGCGGCTAGGCTACTTCCATCTCAACATCTAACGGTATCCTGAGCAGCACAGAATCTGGCCGCCCTGGTGAACTTAGCGGTCACTGTGTTTGATCAGAGCTTAGTCCTAAACTCAAACCAGTACCCCTGCTCATCATTGTATGTCGAGCCACCCCCACCTTCACCTCGCTCCCAGAGAATTATCCAGCCAAGTGGGGGGCATTATAGATTCAGGGCAGGAAATTCCACACTTGACTTCAATAAAGTTCCTTTTTAAGAATCCTCACGCTTGACTACGCTCGCCAACCAAAGCTGAGTTCTTGTGTTTGATCCACCTTTCCGCTGATGCAATCAATGGAATCAATGCGGCGTGTCACAGAGAAACTGAAACACCCCAGTAATGGGTACTCCTGTTTTCATTTTCTGCTCCCCTCCGGCTCAAACTTGAAAGCAAGTTAATCTGGGATAAAGTGGAAGGATGATAAAAGGGTTTGGACTGGTAAAGAAGGACTGAATAGAAGCCTTTTGTGTCCACCTCATAGCTTGAACTCTGCTTAAAACCTGTTCATATGTTCAATGTACAAGTAGAATGTGTCCTTGAAATGATCTATACGACAAAACAATGGTAACAATCTCCAGTGACGGCTTCTGGAATTTCTTTTTGGTAGGGCCAGCCAATCTGTGTGTGTGTGTGTATATATATGTGTGTGATTATGAGCTCAGGTTGATCTGGATCCAGATGTTTAACCTCTAGTTTATCCGCCAAAGTTCTTCTCTCAAACGGGTCTTGGAGGAGAGATTTTACAGAGTTCGGGTTGGGTGTTCTTGGAAGAATACTGCTCTTGCTCGCCCCTGTCATGTTGTTAAAACAGCGCCTCGGGACACTACCCGTAACGAGAGCGCACTGGGACCAGCCCTAAGATGGCCCAATCTATTTTAGGATGCTGATGCTACATTATATGTTTAATCAGTTCATAAGTAATTATTTTACAAATATTACTGGGACTATTTGTAAAATGTATTTTAATATAATAAAAATGTTGTGGTGGCTCAAGGTCTGGCCGGATCCCGCCAGCGGCCCCTGGTCATATCAAAATATCGAACTGTACTTCAATGCATTGTTTTTTTTGGCAGATCCGGCAAAACGTGGTATCATAGTTAATATGTCCAAACGCATTTCACAATTGTCCCAAAAGCTCAATTCAACCTTTCCGTATATAATTTGTCAAAAATATTTCTTTCTAATTGTCATCTAAAGTGGTTCTGTGCATGAAAAGACACAGATAAAAGGCTCTACGGCTCTCAACGCGGCGGCAACCAAGTCAAATTAGATTTAGTCAGTAATATTGAGGTCCGGCCTTTCGTGATTTTTCTCTCCCGGCTCTGAAACAACTTTCTCATTCGTCAACTGATCCACCGGTCTTCCCGCTCGTATTTGCCACATGAACGTCCAGTATATGTTGAATATTTACCATTTACTCATGTTTTGCAGGAGATGCAGCGGCCGTCCCAGACAGGCTGACTCCCAGCGGTGTTCCCAGCATCAGCCCCTGGAAGAGCCCCTGCACCTCCAAGGTCAACGACAGCACCCTGGGGGACACGTTTGTCCGCTGGGAGGAGAACGCCATACCCTGGTGAGTCCCGCCTGCACAGCCTCTGTCGCATTAGCTCTTACTGTGAGTGGATGAACTCCCCTCAGACCTTCAAGAGACAAACTCTCTCCTCTTCGGTCATTTCTGCCTTTGTCAAATGGATGACATCTGAAATACTAATATCCTTTTAATTATCCCAGCCAGGCGTGAGCCTGTGGAGAGGTTGTCTGTTTGGCCGTGTGTCCTGTGTGTCTGTCCGTGGCTTATCTCGCATACCAGTAGACTGATCGCCGTAATATTTTCTGTGGCCTTGTCTCCAGGAGCTTTCATGGTTTCACTGATTCACATTTCACATTAACCCTAATTTATTGACCGTTTATATCTTTATCAAATGCCGGTTTATCCTTTCTCTTCACCTTTCGGCAGTGCCCTAAGTCAACTGACTAAAAACAACCCTGTGCTTACGGCAGTCTGCACTTTGCATTTGTTTTTTTGTTGTGGTTCACAAACTGACATGAAATGACTCCTCTGACTGAAAGAATAATTCTTAACCAGTAGTACAACATGATCTAGTAGCACCTTGTTAAGCATAAGTTGTTTTTTCTGTCCCTTTGCAGCTCTCTAGTCCTGGATGAGGTGAAGCAGAGCACCTGTGAGCTGGAGGTCGATGCAGTGGCCGCAGACGTCCTCAACCGCCTGGAAATCGAAAGTAAGACCGCCAAAGCCCCTCCGCAACATTCTAGGCCACTCCAACACAGTTGTAAGACTGAGACGGGGTGACGCGAGAGCAGAAGCTTAATCATCGGCAACGAAAAATGACGCACGTTTGGCCGAACTGACCAACAGAACACAGATGCTCGCAGCATAAACACAGCAGGGCCGACCTAACACCTTCTTTCACAGGGGAGCAGAGAGGGGGTAAAGAGCGGAGTGATATTCTGTGGGACTAAACAAAAGCCATAAAGCAGGATGGCTTTTTTTATCTGACAAAGCAACTATTGCTTGTGTTTTGTTAGGCGTCTCCCTGCAGATTGGGCCTAAATATCAGGATTTAAGGACTTTGTCTTTGGGCTCCGTAGCTATTTTCAACATCGTAACATTTTTTTAACTACAACAAGCATCTCTCTTGAGTGAAGAAAGGAAAGTAAATACCTAAAGTAAGTATACCTAAGTAAATGCAAGCAGACAGTGCTTGTGTTCTAACTCCTACTTTTTCATCTGCTGTGAAATAATACCACACTGCTGACCATGTATGTAAATTGTGCGTGGGTTTAGTTTCACAGTTTGGTCTGGTGTTGCTTTCATATATCAGGCCTGCTGGACGTAAAAAAAAACGTCTTTGCTGTTGGGTAAAACTCCTCATGTAAGTTTCAACAGAGCCTGATGGTTTTGTAAGCTGACCCAATTTGACTCCCCTCCGTTGGCAGATCAAATCGGCAGGAACCCGGGGCTGCAGGCCATCTGGGAGGACGAGAAGCAGAGGAGGCGGGAGAAGGACCAGGTCTCCCAGATAGAAACCCCCAAGTCCCAAGGTGAGCACGTCCACAGCGGAAACTATTGAAAACAGGATGACTCAAGAAACTCTTTTACATTATTACATTACATGATATTTAGCTGACGCTTTTATCCAAAGCGACTTAACAATAAGTGCATTCAACCATAGGGATACAAACTCAAAACAAGAAAGTGCAATTTCCTCAAATAAGCCAATTTACAATTTTGCTATAGATAAGTGGCGTTACAACTAGATCAGGTCAAACCTAGCAAAGTTAGGAGGGCATGCTAGCAGTTAACTTAATAGTAGAGTCTAGAACAATAACTCACACTAAAAAATGGAAAGAGCTTAAGCAAACTTGCAAACAAGATAACTTAAAACACTAGACTCAACAACAAATTTAGCAGACTAGCTTGGTTTAAAGAAAATATACTTAGTCCGATTTCAGGTTGCCTGGATGTCTGATGGCCTTGTAGTAGAGATGCACGCTTGACTTTGGTTTCTTTCTTCTCCATGCCATCGTAAGACATTATAATGATCTTAATTTGAAAATCGATGCTAAAGTGAGTTGGGTTGCGGCCAAATAATCCAAACAATGAAGTCCTCAGCACATTCCCTTGACCTCGGTGGACGACGTCAAGGAAAGATGTGGGATATTGGGGAACGCCACCCATGGCGCTAGGAGAATCCAACAGGTCATTTATATTTTTTACAGAAAATTAGTTCAATTAAGGACTCCTGCCCAAGATAGAATCACGCCTCCTAACAACGATGGTCTAAATTACTCCTGTACAAATGTTGTCTCTGCAAAGAACTGTGGGACTCCATTACTTCCTTTCGTAATGGATGGTCCAGGGCATCCTATGCCAAAGAGTCATAAGAAAGGAGGCATTGAAGCACCTTTTCTCAGCATTTAGAGAATTCCAGCAGCTCTCATCTTGGCTGCCATTTAAATACATTATTTCACTCAGTGGGAACCTTCCTAACAACTTTATCCCCTAACCACGAACAAACACAGGCAGCTGTCATGGCAACAGGATGATAAATAATCAAAGGTCCATCTGCTGTTGATGATGTAACGAGTTTGCTTACACATGTGTGGGCCTAGGTCCAGGTATACAGGGTTTGGAGAGAGGATATGTTAATGTCCACATATATCAAGATTACAGTTTCTACAATATATAAATAAAATGACATACATTTAGCTGTACAGGCCTGGAATGTAGGATTACACCCAATTTCATTGTTGTTTTTAAGCAATGTTTCTCCCTTGACTTAACAGAAATGACTTATTTGCTGCCTGGAAAGACTCAAGGAATCTTTTCACAGGAACGAGGAAAGGCACTGTTTAACCGCCCCGTCTGTTTTCTAGACCGTGAGTTCGTCGCTTCGACTGAGAGCGAGAAGATTTTCATGAAGAGATTCAAGGAGATCCTGAAGGAGAACGAGTTTGACGTGTAAGTCTCTGTTGTTTCGGGACAACTCTGATTTCTAAAGCCTCTGTTGGATATTTGTTTTCACTGAAGAAAGCCAAAGTCGCTGCCAAGAAGCTGGAAGTCATAAAACAATGCGTTTTATAAATAAGCATAAGATGCTTCCAGTCACATCAGCGAACCTCAGCGTCTGACCCCATTCATCACAAGTCTCTTTGATGCTTTGTGTGTCGACTGTAATGTCTTCAGTTTTAGGGTCATGTCAGCGTCGTCGTCACCGAATAAAATATAGTACAGTCGGCCGCTGCGCGTTCCTGTGCATCAGATCCAGATGTCTTCCATTCATTAACCTCTGATAGCAAACAGGAGCGGAGAAGGAGGGATCTAAGGAGAGAGAAGGAGGAGCAATGTGGTGTGGGAGAAGTGTAGGCTTTTGGTGTGGAGTGATGGAACACACACACACACACACACACACACACACACAGAGCTCGCTGGCTGGCGGCTCTCAGCTCTCCCACAGGCTCACTGTCTCCATCTCCGTCTCTCTGTTAATACTCACACGCAGGCCTCTGCTCGACTGGCTTTCCCTTCCCTATTGTGCCTCGCTGCGGTTGCTGATGTACTCTCAAGGTCTCACTCGGCTTTGCTGGAGATTTCAAATGTCGTTTTTCAGTCCTTCTGCACAATTTCTCAACATTATTCTCTTAAAAATATTTAAAAAAAACGCATATCCATGCTTTAGCACGTTTTTTTAAAATATTTTTTCTTTTAGGTGTGACATGTATTAATCATTCATCAACAAGATACACATTTACTGTATGTTTTGGTTGTCTCCAGGGCAACCATGTTAACCTGACACGGCAGATGGTTTTCAGCCTGGAAGGCAGGGATTGTTCAAAAACACTCGGGGTGTGACTGGATAAACCATCCGTCACTCAAACTACTACCTCCTACTTATCTTATGATATCATGACAGTCCAGCTGCCGTGCAAATGAAATAACATTGTGCCAGGTCTAAATCCAGGGCTGAAGTTAATTGGTGAAAATAAGCAACAACATATGCACTTTAAAATATGTATTTGAAAGAATATAATAATATATGTATTTGAAAGAATCCAATGCTCCTATGATATCCACGATTACTCCATGGATTAATCTCGTCAACCCTCGTACCACAGTACAGCTCCATCACTGAGGACATTCTCCTAAAAAGTCGCCTGACTGGACAATTCTCTGGGTTTTATCAGTTACATTTTTTTATTTATTTTTTGTATGGCTCGAAGGCATTGTGTGCTGCACTGATAAAAAAAAGCCCATTTATGCAAATATGTTAATAAAATGTACCTGACACTGTTGCTTTATGTGTGTTAACAGCCACCCACTAGAGCTCCTCATTTCATTCATCGGGATAATTTAATTAAATCTTACAACATTTGTGAATAGGAGGGGTCTTGTTCTGTTATCCTCCTCTCTTTCCACCCTCCTTATATTTCTTCTTCCTTTCGCGTCTGTAGTTAAAACTGTCACATCACAGGAGAGCCAGTAAAGGCAGTGTGCTCGTGGTGAAATGTGTTAATCGCTGCGGTAATCTCCCGATGCCTGCCGGGCCTTGCTCCCTCGTCGCCTGCTGAAGCTAGCAGACTAATTAAGAGACAGCCAGACAGCGGCACGTGCACGCAGTCTCTCTGGAGCCTTTTCCTCACACGGCAAAGCAAACTCTGTGAATGACAATGAGGCTGCAGTAGAATCCCTCTCACTGTCGTCCTTTAAACCTGTAACGTCTTAGACACAAGGCTCCAATGCTGAATTTGATGTGAAAAAAACGCTTGTCCACTTTTTTATTTTTTATGCCCATTCCGGTGAAATTTGTTCAAATGGCGAGCAGCCTCCGCCCGCCTGGTCTGCACTTCAATATTTCAGAGTCACGAAGTGGTGAGTTGCTAGGCGATGCAGCAGGGCAGTATAGGTAAAGGAACGTGATAGGTAGCTTGTAGCTGAGAACAATCTGGAGGGATACAGAGCCCGAGTTGGCTGCCTTCCATTCATCCCTCTGTGACCCACACACACGCACACACACACACACACAGCACGTAGCTGTATACACACTTAGCAGACAAGCTCACAAGCTTGTGCAGAGAGCACATGTGCAGCTGCGCACACATACCAACCCTGTGGACATTTCCACACAAAGTAAACAGAACAGAAACAGTAAACTTCCCCTGATTAAGACCCCTAGTAAAGGGATGCTTATAAAACATGACTGCATGGGGCCAGATACCAGAAGATCCTCTGCTTTGTGGTTCAGGTACCGGCCAAGATGACAGAACTGCCTATGCTCGTGTTTTGAGGAGAGAATTCTCTCCTGTCTCTCCTGTTTAGCAGGAATTATAATGCAGAAATGGTCCCTCTCTCTCTCTCTCTCTCTCTCTCTCTCTCTACTCAGCACACAAGGTTTGTCTGTTAGCAACAGGCAGGACCAAGAGGATCTCCTCAGTGAAATGACCCTCCATCCCGACCCACTGACGCCCGAGGGATGGCCGTTTACCCCCGCTAATGCTGTGGAGGCGCACAGGTCACCGCAGCCTGGTGAGGGAGATGGACCTACTACGTTTGAGATACATAGTAGATATCAAGTGTCTGTAATGGAGAGGTGCCAAAGTATATCCCACACAAAAGCAATATGGCAGAATTCAAATTCAATTGTTTTCCCGAGTGCACTCACGAAGAAGGGTTTTAGATTCTCATGCAACAATCTTGAACATCCACCTGTGAGCTTCCGATTGTATCTGTTGAGTTAAATAGACGTGACAGTTTTGTCAAAAAGTAAAGGGGGAGGTCCTTTCTGTTTACAGCCTTTCATCATCTTCATGATCCAGAGCAACCATCCAAAGGTTTTCCTTTGCCCGGAGTAAGAGACTTGTGCTTTGCGGTCATTGATAGTTGAAGTAGTTACTGTAAATGTTCATTGTTGGGTTGTGCGTTGCATCACGACACACATCTAGTGTTCAAAGGGTAGACTACTGAACTTGGAAGAGGAAAACACAAGCAGCCCAGTCACAGCTCCCACAGTCTCTTCAGAGCACCTCTGTGGCTGCCATAAACCACTTTGTGGCACCACAGTTTGCATAAGTCTAATCTGCTTGCACTCTCTTAGCATAGCCTCCTGCAGGCGCACATAAACTCCTTGACCTCAGGCTGAACCGTGTGTGTGTGTGTGTGTTTGTGTGTAGGTGATGTTTCAGTAATGCTAAAAGTACTCTTGTGTCCAGTCCCAGACTCTGTGAGGACCAGTAAGAAAGTCCGAGAGGAGGCTGTTGTGGATGAGGAGGCCATCTTGAGTCTCCTGGAGAACAGTCAGACCTTCCTCCCGCCTTCCCAGACCTCCAACCACTCGCCCCTGTTAGGTGCGTAGCACTCTGATTAATGCAATTTCCCAGTCTGCCCGCTCTGTTCTCCATCACTTGGTCTACATATCTCTTTAAAATACACTCATTTTTTTCTCATGAATCCGGGTTTTCTAGTCATTTTCCAAGACTCACACACATAACTATTGAAGTAAAAACAAAGGTGAATATAAAACAGTGCAAGTTACTTTTGACATTACTAAGACAGCGTCCTAGCAACATGGTTTGTGTATCTTTGAAAACACTAACTCGCTTGTATTTATTCACACACAGGTATTTGTGAGGCGTTGATAAATTGTGAAAAATAAAAATATTTGGCATGCCCGAATAAGACTTGTTGACTAAAGCCTGTAAATATCAAGTGTAAAAGCCCAGGGTTCATGTATAGCTCAGATTTAATTTGTTTAATATATTTTAAAGGCTTTTTTTTGTTGTCCATGTAGACAGCAGCCAGGACCAAGCCTTCATCGATCTGCTGGCAGGGCTGGAGAACGATGGCTTCCGCAGGACTCCCGTTAGGCAGAATTCCCAGTCACTTCCTGGTGCCAGGAGCCACCACTGCAACAGCGACGAGGAGGAGGAGGAGCCGGAGCTGGACAAGGTAGAGGCCGAGCTCAGCGTGATAATGTCACAGCGGTGGGACAACGAGGCTCCCGAGAACTCACCCTCACCAAGGCAAGTTTGTCTGAAAGTGAAACACAAATGAGTATTCAGTGGTATTAATGAGCAGATTAATATAGAGATGAATATTTGTTTTGTACCCACAGAAATGTTATTGCTGCTGTTATTGTAAATAATCCAGACTGAAAGCTGGTACTGTAGGTGGAAGATATTCATATGAATCACAATTTTGCAAATGTAATATTGGTTCAGCAGCTCCTGCTTTACACATTGGAGAGCTGCTGTTTATTTAATTCAAAAGGTCCTTAATGTCAAATCTGATCTGCCAGAAATTTGGGCTGCTTCTTTTAGTCAATAGACTGTGGCGATCATTTGTAAGGTTGAAATTTGCTCCTCTCATCCTACCACACACAGGCCAGGTGCAAAAGAGCCAGACAACAATGGCTTCAGCGACGAGCGGCAGGAGTCCTCCGACGAAGACATGGAGTGGAGCGGCGGGAGTAACTCTCTGTTTGCCAATCTGTCCATCCCCCAGCTCGACGGGGCGGCGGACGAGAGCAGCGGTGAGTCGCCTCATGCCGCTAATGTGTTCATCAAGCAAATCAGAATACAGATCTGACTGCAGCAGGTTTCTGCTGTACAACAGAGTTTTGTCGTGCGGAGCTTTGATTTAATACGGTGCAAGACTTTGGGATTGTAATTGATTCCCTCAATAATTGAGTTATTGACAATTAACTTGTCACCATGAGTGCACTAGTGTATTTATGTGTATGCACCATTTGCTCATTATTTATTATGGCATCAGGCTTTTAAAAAAAAAATCAGATGGTCTTTTATAAATAGTGCCAGAGCTGCTGGTGTCAGATCGGGAGCACATGGAACTTGTGTACACCTCGCACTTAAGATGAGAGAGATAGAGGACAAGTGTGTGTAATAGCATTGTTTGATTGGTTCCGATTATAACAGATTTTCTGGCGCTGTATTAAAGAATTGTGGTTTTGTACTGCTACGATTTCTCCAAAAATGCAGAGGTGAGGGATTGATCCCTTTGCTGTGGATGACATCATAAACTACAACCAATGTGTGGCTATGGTGATTAGGGTTTGACAGGTTATCGTCTATGTCAGTATAAACATTATCTATATATTTATTAGTAAACAAAAAATCAATACATGAGAGATAGATTGCATGAACAATGTTTAAGATCAACTGTCTTAAAGATTGATTGATAGATGAAAGACAAATATTGAATCACGTATATTGTATCTGGCATAAAATGCCATCAGCATATGACATATGACAAAATATAGCAAATATTTTACTGGATAATCCAGCGGTGGCCGTAAAATCCTCTTATTCATATATTAATTGCAAATGCAGAACAACTTTCCTAGAACCATATCATTGTACCAGCCATCATCTTTAGTGTTAATGGATTGGTTTGATGTGTTAGACAGAAAGAAATAGAAAGATAGAGAGATAGAAATTGTCCAGTCTATACATAAATAAATACATTGGGTTCGACCTGCACTGTAAATGAAACTCAGAACACTGATGCTGTTTAAAAAGGCTCAGTCAAGACTTTTCCTCTTGAGGAAGCTTCAATCTTTATATGACTATGACAGATGACGAAAACAGGACTAATAAGGTGATCAGAAAGGCTGGTTCAGTGATTGGCCTGCCACCGAACTAACTAGAGTTCACTTTAGAAAAGAGAACAAGGGCCAAGTTAAAAACAATCATTTCTTTTGAAGACCATCCACTACAGTGTTTTTAATGGACTCAGAAGCTCATTCAGTGAACACCTCTGAATGTGTTCTACTGAACCACAAAGTGTTCTACTGAACGACTTGGAAGGTGAACATTTTTGGGTTTACCATCTTTCTTATCTCAATCATGTTTTATAAGGCATCTTCTGGTCTTGTTTGTTCCTTGTGACACATTTTTTGTCTGTTGTTCTCTGTACAAATTCTTTGGTGGCAAGTGAGTTTCCCCACTGGGGATTAATAGTTTTCTAATCTGAACAACTTTCCTAGAAGCATAACATTATGACAGCCATCATCTCTAGTATTAATGGATTGGTTTGATTTTTTTGTCTGATTTATTAGTAAACAGATTAAATCCCAAAATTATTTTTGTGAAAGCGTTGAGATTACAGACTGTGGGTAGATCCTTTCGGGACATAAGAGCTACTTTTTAGTGCTAAAAGCTCTAAAGTTAGAATTTACCCGTTTTCTGAAAATGTTTCTGAAAATGTTTTCTGAAAATATGAATACATTTTTGCTGCTGGCAAACTCTTATTTCCTTTGCCTCTATAGATTCATCCCTAACCGACAGTGGCTCCAGGACCCAATCTTCTGTCATAGTCTCAGAAAAGAGGCTCGGAAAGAGGAATCCCTTCTCCGGGGAGACTGTTCACCTGGAGCCGCCGTCTTCAGCGAAGATCTTTCTTGAGCACAGACCAGTTCATGGGCTGGACACGGAGCAACCACTTGACAAGCACTTTCAGTCAAAGAGCAGCCAGGACAGCAGCAGTGAATGTGCAACGGGGTTCAAATTCGATAACGAAATCCCCTATATCCCGCCGGTCAAACCCCCCATCCCCTGCAAGTTATCCAGTCACCCTGAGGTGTCTCCCACCTGCATAGAGAAAATGAACATACACCCCCTGTATACAACCTGTACATATGACAAGAAAAAGTCCATAGCTTTGGATAAGACCGACCTCAAGACGTTCCCATTTGGTAACAGAAAGATCACCAAAAACGGGAAGAAGTATGGCAGCATAAAGAATGTAGAAACTAACTGTCTGTCCATTCTTCAGAACCATAGGACCTTCTCCCTCTGTTACTCAGAGCTGAGAAACTGCTCTGCTAAGGCAGAGCTGGACCTTAGCCAGAAGGACACTAAAAGCCCTCTCCTGAGGAACATCTCCTCAGCTCCTTCACCCATTGTGGATGATGGATTTCTTAATCCTCAGGAGGAAGAAATGGGCCAGGACAGTGAAGAGGGAGACGTTGGTGAACTCAAAATCAGGTACGAGGACTATCAGGAAAATAAGACTGAGAGGACGATTGTGGCCCAGCAGGAAGCACACTACAAGTTCTTCCCAAGTGTAATCCTCTCCAACTGCCTCAGTAGGAAGAAAGCTGTTATCAAAAAGCCGGCAGATCCTTGCAGCAAGATTGAGCAGGCCCTGCCTCGCAGGTCAAGGCTAAAAGTGTATAAAAAAGGGTTGGGAATGGCAGGCCAAAGGAATAAAATAAGCATTTTTGAAAGCTGTACTTCCGACAGCCAGGATAGCGCTGCCCTCACCTCAACCATGCCTGCTTGTCAAGATACTGTAGATGCAGAGATGCCAGTTTTGGAGAATAAGTTGATAATAGAGCCAATTGAAGATGTGCCAATCACGGAACAGGAGCCAATCACAAAGAACCAGCCACAAAGTGAGGACAGCTCTGTAAGTGAACAGCTAGAACAGACAGAACCACCTTCAGAGCCCCCCATCACAACCGTTTTCTCTTTTTCCTCAGAAGCTAAAGACTCGACAGAGGAAACTTTAAGGTCATTACAGGATTTATCAGCTAAGGTCACCTGTACTAAATCTTTGGCGCTGCCTGGTAGTAAATATACCCTGAGGGCCAAACGGAAGATGATCCATGATGGCGAGGATGGAGAATACTCAGGTGCCACTCGTTCTAAAAATCCAGCCTCCATCAAAGAACGGTTTAAGGACACCAATGTTCCCAGTGGGCAGGAAGCAAAATACCAGAAACGGTGCAAGAAGGAGCCCCCAATCATTATCAAGTACATTATCATCAACAGGTTTAAAGGACAGAAAAACATGCTGGTGAAGATGTCCAAAGTGAATGCAGAGGAGCAGTTGGTGATGCTGACGTCAGACAAGCTAGACCAGTACAATAGACTTGCCCCTCTTAAGGATTTCTGGCCCAAGGTACAAGAATCCTCTGCTGTCAAGTTCCCCATTGTTGAGACAAAGGCAAAAAAACACCCAAAAAGAAAAGCAAAGGTCACCTCCACAAATAAAAAAACGTTCTGCAACTCCTCCAAACCACATGTCAGACAGGGTCAAAGGGTCAAAAGGACTAAAGGCTCTCAGAAAGGTCCAATTCTACAATCTCTTACACCCCCTGGGCCATCTTACGGCGAGCTAGCAGACGACCACGACCGTGAGTATTCTGATGTCATGGTAGAATTGGGCTACCTTTCAGATAGCTCCACAAGTCCTACAAACTCAACGCCCCCTCGTTGTTGGTCCCCAAGTGAGCCTCTCACAGACACTAGCAGTTCAGAACAGCTAATAAACCCACTCAGTGACCCATGTCCTAGTTCTGATTTTCACAAGACATTGTGTTCAACCAAAGGAGCACAAAGAAAATGTCAAACTGCCAAACCGAAAATATCCCCACACACACAAAGGAATACAAGCAAGTCTATCGCTAAGCCTCAGGCGGAAGAGGAACCCAAAAAAGATAAATCACGACCAAGGAGTGGTGGTGCTCCGAAGCAAAGGAAGAAAGCTAAAGACACAGCAGAAAGTACCTTAAAGAATTCTACAAACACCACGAGACCGCGGAAGTCTTGCAAAAAGAAGACAGAGGAACACAAAATCCATGATTCAAGTCAAGACACCTCCCAGCTTCTATTCATTGAGGATGAGCCACCTCCTTCCACGAGTTCCTCTCAAGACGGCCCCCCATTTCAGCAGCCAATGAGCACCGGTGGCAAAAGCCAGGGTAGTTCCCAGCCAGTATCTAATTCAGACTCAAACTCAGTAGCCCAGTCTCTAGAACCAAAGGTCGAGGACTGTGAGACTTCCATCATGGAAGTCAACCAAAGCTTATCAGTTCAGCTGAAGCAGCAGGGTTGCCAGACCACTGTGGTAAAGTTAGAGGCTTCACAGGAGAAGTGCACTGCCCCTCTACCTCCTCTAGCTACTAGACCACTACTTGAAGATAGTAAAGACCCCAAAGCCTCCCCACACTCAGGCCCGAAGAACGGGCAGATCCCAACTCTCTCCGAGACTCCATCTGGCTTGGCTGTCCTCAAGCAGCTTCTCCAAAAGAGGCAGCAGGGACAGGCTCTTCCTCTACAGGTGGTTGGTACAAACAGCCCCTCAACTGCCATAGCTCAGGCCACAGCACTGCTAGATCCCACATCTAAACCAGTCACATTCAAAAGAACTCCCTCCGCCTCTCCACGGAAACCCAGGGTCCCAAAATCTACCACTCCAAAGGTTAAAAAGCCCAGAATCAGGAAAGGCAAGGCAAGGAGCTCTCAGCCAAACCTATCCGTGAAGCAGGAGGGCAACATGTCTGATGACTACCCCATCTTCCTGTCAGACCCTGGCCTGGACAGCTGCAACTACGTGGAAGATAGCTTGTCACCACAGCTCCCACACAACTATAACTTTGACATAAATGCCATTGATCAAACAGAGTTCTCTAGCCCGTACAGCGGCAGTCAGTTTGTGCTAACTGATAAGAATTTACCACTTAAGTTCTTGAGTGATGTCAGTCTGGAAGCTGTATCTGCTCAGTCTCTGGGCTTTGAGAAGAAACTTGATAGGCTCTTTGATTCTGGGGAGGAGCTCCAAAGAGGCTTTGATTGGCGCAAAGCAAGGTCCGTCAGCCCCGACCTCTTTGATAGACCAGAGTATGGGGAGTCGCTTTCAAATCATCTCACTTTCCTCGACTCAGAGAAAACCAAGAGCAAAGAGTGGGACTTCTCTTTAGGGAAAGCCCACACCCTCAGCCATTTTCAAGATTTCCATTGTGAGAGAAAAGAGTTGCTCTTTTCCGTCTTCGACTCTGTCCTGCCGCTACCCTTAAGCTCTGCGTCATTCGTCGACCACGATGGCTCCCCAACAGGGGAGCTTCTGGAGTGTAATGATGGGCTAACGTCGACCACACCCAGTAGCTCTCCCCGCTCCATCAGCTCACTCTCTCAGGTGAGGGCTGGCCAGCTGCTGCGTGGGGCAGGAGGTGGAACCCATGTCCTGAAGCCACTCATGTCACCGCCAAGTCGGGAGGAGATTCTTGTCACTTTGCTGGATCTGGAAATGTCGGAGGCCACGTTCCAGGAGCCTTTCTGCAGCAACCCCTCTGATGCGCCAGGGAAACCAATGTAAGGCAACATCAGCACAAAGTTGTTTAAGACATCTTGCATGTAACTAATTGGGTGCAACTGATTGTTCACATGGCATTGTTCATATTGCATCATATCGTTTGGGAAATGAGGGTTGCTGAAAGGAACCATTCAGAGTTTCTCTGTTGGGGAACAATCCGATCTCTATCTGACATCATGGAAAAAGGTTGCACATGCACACCGGAAGGGAACACACAACACACTGAATTTAAATGAATCTTTTCGATTGAAATATATGTTATAGAGGCAGTGTTGCAAAATGATAGTATGAATTAGAGATGGACTAATACTATCTACAGGGCTGTATTTATTCCACCACTCAGACTTTTTTTGCAAAGTACTTTCACTTTTGAAGCTGTAAAATTGCAGTGATTAATAATCATGAATCACTCTGTCATCTCTCCAGGGAAGTTGGCGGCCGTAAGTTAGCGGTGCATACCAGGCTGACTAAGGAGCTAGCAGAGTTCAGTGGAGATCTGTCTTTGGAGGGCCTCTATTTCTGGAAGACTGCGTTCTCAGCCATGACTCACCCTGCCATCACTTTTACCTCATCTCCCCAAGCCCGGGGAGCTCGGACCTCAGAGGGGAGTATAGACCACGCCAAGCTTGACCCATCCTCAGCCAGTGACAAGAAGGTCATCCTCATGCCCTGCAAAAACTCACCTAGCAGGGAGCGTGTGCAGCTGTGGCTGGAAGCCAGGAAGCAGTACGAGAGTTTACAAAAAGGATTGCTGAAGAAGGGGGTGGTTGGGCTAGATGTGGTGGGGATGGCAGAAAGAACTGAGCAGCCAGGTGCGTCCAGCTGTCCAGCAGTGACGGTTGAGATGTGTGAGAGACTCTCCAGTATCAGGACACAGAGGAGAAAGAAAAGCAACCTGTCCTTAATCATGACTCCCATGACAAACACAGGCTCTCAGTGTAAATCCACCTCAGTGAGTCCAGTTTCTGATGATGGCGGTGTGAATATTGAGCAGGAGGGCAAAGAGAGCGATGATCGTGAGAATAAAACCCCCTCTCCGGAGTCCCCAGAGCTGCCTTCCTGGCAGCAGTCCTGTCAGCCCAGTTCCTCAGGGCTGGACCGCCTCTGCGAAAAACATCCAGAACTAATGTCACCCGGGCTCTCCAACTCCTCAGAGAGAAGAGGGGAGAGCCCCAGTCCTTCATCCATCCATCGGAGTAACAGGGAAGAGGGAAGGACAAGCCCCCACTTCTTCCACAGCACCCCCTTTTTAAGGCGAAGGCGGAGAAGCCAGGAGCACTTGGAGCCAGTGTGCAGCACGCCCGTATCTGAGGGTGAGAAAACAATGTGCCTGTAATCCGTCTGCCAGGACTTTTCCATGGCTGACCCATTTTTTAGACCGTAGTGATTGTGTTTGTCTTCATGTTGGGTTTCCTTTTTTTTGCTGCAGAGGATCCCGTTTCTCAGAGACTTCAGCAAAGGAGGAGAAGCCAAGCGGACCCACTCAGACGAGTGTTGCTGACCACACAGATGAAGGTCAGACTACAAGTGTTGATTTTCATTAGGGCTGCAACTAACAATTATTTTGATAATCAATAATCGGATTTAAAAAAAAACCATTATTTTCCAACCCGTTATTCTTAAAAAGAAATGACAAATTCACAGTGAAAAAACAGGTTGCTCCTTCAACATAATGTCATTATTTATGAAAAATAAAGAAAAATACAAATTAGAAAACATTTGTTTAAACGTCAGAACTCCACACTACACTCACAGACGCGCACAAACAAGTTCACTTGATTAAGTAAATTTATACAGCACCTTAAGATGACAAAGTGCCATCAAATTACTTTAAAATGACATTAAAAAGTCAATGGTCCCACATAAAAAGTATGTGGGACAAAGCACAGAATGTATTCCTGACAATATGAATGGGCCAAAAAAACGTTAAGCTCCTCACCTCAAAACGGAAAAACATGGCGCAATTGACACGCTTTTTTTAGTGAATGTGAAATACTTCCACACCTTGGAAGACTTAAGTTGTATACAGAGTGTTGGATGTACTAACCAGATATTGTGACTGCAGCTTGTGTACCTGTATCTAGTCAGTACCTCTCTCGCTGCCGTGGTTTGAATTGGGCCATAATGTTGTTTTTCGGCTGTTCGTTTGCTGTTTCTCATGTGCTCTTTGTCTTCCCCAGAACCACTTTGCTGCTTTGAATGTGCCAAAGAAAGATAACTCTGAGATTGAAGGCCCCAGCATAGCCAACTCTTACGGTTTCAAAATCAGCATGCAAAATCTGCAGGATGCCAAAGCTCTGCATGAGGTGAGCTGCAGTCTTCTCCCAGACTCAGTCTGTTGTTGTTTTTTTGCCATTTTAGGATGTATATTAAAGTCCAATAGAGTTAGATAAACATTAGATAAATCTGCTTATTCAAGCATAATATTTTAGGGTACTATTTCATCTAATTAGTTTCATAAAGTTTAAGTAGCAACCAAGATCTGTTAATTTCCAGTCTGTAACTGTGCACGTAGAATTCACATTTGTAAATAAGCAATATTAAAAATGCATATGAAATATTTCCAAACGCTCGAAAGATTTCTTTGTGTACTGGGTCATTTGATTTTCAGGCCGCGGGAATGAACACAAACGGCATTCACTCAAAATCCAAAGACTTTAGATGTATTTTCCCTTCTGACACAGCTTTTTTCGTCCATTTCCCCGTCAGGTCCAGCACCTAACACTGATAGGCATGGAGCTCCATGCTAGAACCCGCCGGGACCTTGAGCCTGACCCAGAGTTCGACCCCATATGTGCCTTATTCTACTGCCTCAGTTCTGATGCTCCCCTGCCAGATGTTCACAGCACCCAGCTGACGGGCGCCATTGTGGTGGACAAAGACCATCAAAGCAGAGACCAAGGTCAGTGTCGCTTAAATTATGCAAATGCCGAACCCACGGTTGTTGATGTTGTATCACAAAGGTTTTTCTATGGACATGTTCTTTATACATAGACAATTTTCCTAATATTTAACCATGCATATTGTATGGCATAGAGTACGCTGCCCTGCTGAAGATTCTCTTTACACAACTTTAGCAGGTCATAGAGGAACGGCGCCCCTGCTGGTCAGGTCAGGCGTCTCCGGGCTGCAGGTGACGTACGCCACCGATGAGAAGGTGCTGTTTCAGGAGCTGATCGCCGTCATGAGGAGGTGCGTATGTGTGGCCACGGGTTTGGTTCGCACAGCTCCTTTGCATACTGCTCAGAAGCATATTTGGGGTCATGAAATGCTAACCAGAGTAACCACTGTACGTGTTCGTCAGTCGGGAAAATAAAGTGTTTGCTCCGCTGTCGCCCTTTTCCTCTGTCAGGTTTGACCCGGATATCCTGGTTGGGTACGAGGTGCAGATGCACTCCTGGGGCTACCTCCTGCAGCGGGCTGCAGCGCTCGGAGTGGACCTGTGTCAGCAGCTGTCCCGTGTGCCAGGTAGGGCCCGCCGTCACCACAGATGCTCCTCCAGCAGTTAGTAGGAAGCAGTCAGTTAATTTCTTAAGTATTAATTTGTCTTGCTGAACAGGCTTTTGCAGACGTAATAGTGTGAATAGTATGATTCTGTGCTGCTTAATGTCAAATCTGTGAGGTTAGAGAACCACACCTCCTCAACCCTCATCCTCAACACCGGTGTCCCACAGGGCTGCGTACTGAGCCCTCTCCTCTACTTCCTCGTCACCTACGACTGCAGACCTGTACATAGTTCCAACAACATTGTCAGGTTTGCAGACGACACAACGGTGATTGGCCTCATAAACAACAAGGAGGAGTCAGCCTACAGGAAAGGGGTCCAGCACTTGGCTGTGTGGTGCGCCAACAACAATCTGGCACCAAGAAGACCAAGGACCTCATTGTGGACATCAGAAAATCCAAAGGTGGCACACACAGCCCCATTTCCATCAACGTGACAGAGGTTGAGCGTGTTGCTAGCTTCAAGTTCCTGGGTGTCCACATCTCCGAGGACCTCTCTTGGACCCTCAACACCTCAACCCTGCTCAAGAAGGCTCACCAGCGCCTCTTCTTCCTGAGGAGACTGAAGAAGGCTCATCTGTCCCCTCAGATCGTGGTGAACTTCTACCGCTGCTATCGAGAGCATCCTCACTAACTATCACAGTGGCAGTCGCTCTGTTGTGGACCGGAAAACACTCGGAGGGTGAAAACTGCCCAGCGCATCACTGCTTCCTCTCTCCCCCACCATCGAGACTGTCCTGCACAAAAGATGTCTGCGGAGGGCGCGCAGCATTGTGGAGGACAACTCTCACCCCAGCCATAAACCGTTTACCCTCCTCCCCTCTGGGAGGCGTTACAGGGCCCCCCCCCCCACACACACACTTCTCCTCTCCCAATTATGCCATATTTGCATTTGCCCAACTATGCCACATTTGCACTACCATGTCATTCATATTTACAACCTTGCTGCTTAATGTATATACTGCGCCAAGTATATTTTTTACACTGTACATATTCTCTTATTTGTATATACCACTCTGCACTTTTCACTTTGGCTCTCTTGCATCTGGTAAGATGCTAAACTGCATTTCGTTCGTTAGTGGAGGAGAGGGGAGTGGGAGGGAGAGAGAGAGAGAGAGACTTAATTGTTAATTGTCCGTTTGTGTCATCAGGTGACTCCAAAGACAACCGCTTCTCCGCAGAGAGAGACGAGTACGGAGCAGACACCATGAGTGAGATCAACATCATTGGGCGCATCACCCTCAACCTGTGGAGGACAATGAAGACTGAGGCAGGTGTCCCGACATGACCTCCACCGAACTCACACACTGTGCTGTCAGCCATTGATGCTAGTAGCCCATATATATATTTTCTTTGGGGGTATTTTCTTGACTTAATTTTGGGGCTCGTGAGTATTCATGGAATTTGTTTGATATCATAAAGCTGTGGGTCATAGAAATAAAATCAGTAGTAGTAGTTGTATGTTTTTTTGTGGATGATATCACGGTCTAAATATTTCTTCTATGAGGGGAAAAAAGTACAGAACAATGACTATAACCTAAGACTATAACCTGTGAGAAAAGTAGTAAAAGAACCTAGTCTAGACTAAGAAAGACTGTTACAAGTTGTACACAAGCTTTATGAACAGGTGTGGAGGCGTTACCTTTTGAGGAAAAGGTTCTAAGATATATTTGTCTTTTTCATTTTACCCCTCAGGCAACATTGAACAACTACACTTTTGAGAATGTGGCCTTCCATGTGCTCCACCAGCGCTTCCCCCTCTACAGCCCCCGCACCCTGTCCGACTGGTTTGACCACAACACCGACCTCTACAGGTTTGTGCCCACACCGAACACATTTCCTCCAAAATGTTAGACAAGAGCAGTGACACTAAAAATGCACTTAACACATAAGCATAAGAAATATGCTTCCCAACACATGCTGTGCATGCAGGAAGCCATTCTAATATGACATATAATGTGTGTTAGGTGGAAGATGGTGGACCACTACGTGAGCCGTGTGTGCGGCTCCATGCAGCTTCTTCAGCAGCGCGACATCATCGGCAGAACTAGCGAGCTGGCGCGATTGTTTGGGATTCAGTTCTATCACGTTCTGACCCGGGGATCACAGGTACAACCAGACACTCTGATTGGTCAACAGTTTCCTGCGGCGTTGCCCTAGTGGAGTGTCTGTCGCTCTGGTTTGTGTGTCCTGAACCGTTGGAACTAGTATGCCTATTTTGGTGGTTTTTGGGGGTGATCGAGCGTGTTGACTTGGCAGTAAAAGAAGCCGCTCTGATTGGCTGTCTGGGTTAAGCAAATCAAAAGTCAGCAAAGAGCACACTCAACCTTGTGGGGACACGTCATGATCTTATTGGTTGAAATGTTGTTTTACAGGAGGATATTTTTTGGAGGGGAGTGGAGGGGTTTCATAAACCCATAAATAATTTTTTTGCTGTATTTTCTTTTACTTCTATTGTTAAATTGGTGCTCCAAGGTTGTGATGGAAGGGGATTTAAAAGGCATTCATCCAACCCATCAACCCTCTCTTGCCCCCGCAGTACCGCGTTGAGTCAATGATGCTTCGCCTGGCCAAGCCGTTGAACTACATCCCCTTGACGCCTAGCATCCAGCAACGAGCCCAACAGAGGGCGCCGCAGTGCATTCCACTGGTGATGGAGCCCGAATCGCGCTTCTACAGTAACTCAGTGATCGTGTTGGACTTCCAGTCACTCTACCCATCCATCGTCATTGCGTACAACTACTGCTACTCCACCTGTCTGGGCCACGTGGAGAGCCTGGGAACGTAAGCACGCCTGTTGCTTGCTCGCTTGGCACGCCGCCACGCCAACCCACTCGTTATTTTTAAAGGAACAGACACGCTGAGTGCTCGCCTGGTGTTCCCAGCTTAGAGCAGAGAACGCTGCAAGTCAGGCTTACTGTGGTTGCATAGCAACAGCAGTAGCAGTGAACACATGCATATGTCTACCTCTCAGAATCAGCTATCGTCACGCTCTTCATTTTCAGCAGAGTAGAAAGCGACAAATTAGCTCCAGGAGAGCTGCAATGCTGGGTTCTTTTTTTATTCATCTACAAGCATTTTGATTAATGCAGTTGGTTATTTTACATAAAATAATTAAACCAATCATCAGCTTATCGCTGTAAGAGCTGTACGTGTTTTGTACGAAGTGGCTCTTAGTAACTAACCTCTAGATATTTGAATATATGTGTTAAAGCAGCGTACTGATTGTGTAATTGTGTTATCTTAAGACATTGTTGAATAGCTGAACCAATGCTGCTTTGGGACTTTAGGCAGGCACTTCTCATTCTGTTATTTCTTTGTTTGGTTTTAACACAAACACTTTTAATATTTAATGCTTTTAGCGTTAATCAAACAAAAATGGCAAAAAGTGCAATTTGAGATTTTCTATTTTTATAATTGTAAACTCAAAAAAACCCATACAATTCACCTTGTCTATGCATACATTTACCAAAGGCACTTCCCCCTCTGAAGATCACGATAGAACCATCCATCCATTCAAAAAAGACATGAAGATTGGTTGGAAAAATGTAATACGATTAAATATTTTTATCAGGAATACAAATAAGTAAAAAAATTCAAATAGACGCAGCACGTCTTAGCTAATAAAAACCCATCTCATGACTCCAGTCAAAAGTAAAAAAAAGTTGTGTCTCTATTAAAGTGCAAATGCCTCTATTAAAGTACGAACTCTTCCACATTCTCTGTTTCAGGCACGATGAGTTTAAGTTCGGCTGCGCCTCCCTGCGGGTTCCTCCTGAGCTCCTCTACCAGCTTCGCAATGACATCACCGTCTCACCCAACGGCATCGTTTTCGTTAAGGTACAGAACCTCTGCCCTTCCCACTAAGGAAAGCTCACCTGTGCGTTGTCTTTGCAAAATGTGACCTTGTAGGTACAGAGTCTGTAGAAAGCCCACCTTGTGCTCTACGTCCTTTGGAGTAGTTATACTTTCCCTTTTGTTGTGTGAGCGCACCACAAACTGTTTCTCCACTAAAGGTTGAGGTATGCATTTATTGAGAGATGAATAACATTTTACATGGAGAAACAAATTGTACACCTGCAACTTGGTAAAACCTTTAAAATAAAGGAATTACAAATACAATGTAAACATTGTTAATTCAGCAAATAAACACAGAAATATAATTCCTCTATGTAATCTATATAATTGAGTAGAAATAAGTTGTAGAAGGGTGCCTTTAGGTTACCTGTATGGGCTCATACCGAGTGTGAATCTGACTAGGAACCCGCTCTCCCTCAGCGCGGGTGCAGGCCACTCCGGGCCAATGTTCACCCTTCTGTTCTCTATGTCCAGTCGTCGGTGCGCAAAGGCGTCCTGCCAAACATGCTGGAGGAAATCCTGTCCACCAGAATCATGGTGAAGCAGTCGATGAAGGCGTACAAGCAGGACAGGACGCTGACCAAGCTGCTGCACGCCCGGCAGCTCGGACTCAAGCTCATCGCCAACGTCACCTTTGGCTACACTGCCGCCAACTACTCCGGCCGTATGCCCAGCGTAGAGGTAAGCTCCTCCATGGTAACCTTCGGCTGTCTGCACTGGGGGACGTGGAGGCGGCTGACAGTCCTACTGTGTTCTTTGATTTGGGAAACCATTTCAATCCTTTGTTAGCTTTGTTTTCCCATTCTTAACATCACCATATTTTTGAGTGCAATGCCAAATATTTTCTTGGGAAAATTTCTTTGTATTTGTATTTAGGTATTGTTACAAATCTTTGCTTATATGTGCCGTGGTTTGCCAAACTCCATTGGTGAAATACAAATAGAAAAAAAGGACAGCTGCATCGTTATTTATTTAATCTCATGTTGGTCTTGCCTGTCCCGGACCAGGTTGGAGACAGCATTGTCCACAAAGCCAGAGAGACGCTGGAGAGAGCCATCAAGCTGGTGAACGACACTAAGAAGTGGGGGGCACGCGTTGTGTACGGGGACACCGACAGGTAAATGACCAGAACCCCCCTCCAACCCACTCCCGAGAGCAGCATAATGACGGATGTAATTGACTCACACACTTCTCACCCGCGTCAACACTGCTGATATGTTGCTATCCTCTGAAAGTCTTATTGTTTTCACAACTAGCTCCAAGGCTCTAATTAATTGTCAGTATCTTAACAGGCTGTAACTGCTGTGTTTTTCCCAGCAATGATTTAGAAACTTTTTGTTGGTGTGGTGTTTAAAGCCTAGTTTATGCTTCTGCGTTTTCAGAGAGACGCAAGGACACGCAGACGCAAGAGGCCCTTGCGTGTCCCTTGCGTGCTTTTTCACACCTCCTTGCGTGTGTCGACCCATTTTTCTAGGCTAGCATCGCTTTCGACGCAAGCCTCCTGCAGCCTGCAGGGCTGTGATTGGTCTGCTAACTACATCCTTTCCGAAGCCTCACATTTCCATTTTCATAGCACAATACCGCCATTATAAATATGACCACTGCTACAACCTGTCATTGGCGGACTATAAGGACGCGCGGATGGCCTCTGATTCATGGAGGGAGATCGCCGCAAACGACGGTTTGCCGGTCGAGGGGAAAATTGTGGAGGAAAATACGGGACAAATGTGTCCGCAATGAAAAGCAACAGTGGCGATGCACGGGGCAAAAGTCTATGATAAATAAATAAACAAACCAACGACTTCCACACACAAAAAACGTTAATCCACCTGTTGTTCTGGCGGTGATTTGCTCTGCAACACACGCAAGCCTTTTAGAACCATGAATTGAAACAAGTGTGTCGACACGGCGTTGCGTAAAGACGCAGAAGCATGCGCCAGCCTTAAGACCAAGGCTGACTAAGTAAGAACTGTGATGCAATCTGTTTGTTGGTTAGATTGAATTACTTAAGTAAAGAAAACAAAAAGGAGACCTGGGCCTCTCTTTATCTGTACAAAATAATCCAATGGTTACATCTTTTTGGTCACAATTTCAGTGGGAGTTTGTCTTGATCATGTTGTATGTACAGTTACGGTTACAGACTTTCCACTTCAATCTCCACTTGATTGCAAAAAAAAATGAGAAAAGGGCCACATCCAGTTGAGACTTGTCATATCTTTTCTGAATTTTCCTCCAGCGCCATCATCAGGTGAACCTTCTACTGTGGACTTTTGTTCATCCCAGCAGCCTGAGCTGTGCTTTTTGTTTACTGATAATCACACAGTGTTTGCATAGTAACAGGCTAAAACATTAAAACGTCTAATATCAACCTGCCGTATATCAATATGTTAGCACTGTCATTGCTGTCATTGTTAGGTCCTGAAATGAATTAAGCAACTCTTGATTGTCATTGTGTGCCGCGGGCTGATGAGGCTTATTGAGTGACTGTGCTGCTCCTCTTGTGTTCGGCAGCATGTTTGTGTTGCTGAAGGGAGCCACCAAAGAGCAGGCCTTCAAGATCGGCAACGAGATCGCAGAGGCCGTGACCGCAACCAACCCGAAGCCGATCAAGCTCAAGTTTGAGAAGGTAGTGTTTTCCCAGCACACACGTATACAGCAGACACACACAGGCTGCAGCCACTGTAATGTTTGTGCATTTGGATTTGTCAGTCTGCCAATTGTCTTTTTTGGGGGGCTCTCAGGTGTACCTGCCCTGCGTGTTGCAGACAAAGAAGCGCTATGTGGGCTACATGTACGAGAGCCTTGACCAAAAGGAGCCCGTGTTTGACGCCAAAGGGATCGAGACAGTGCGGCGCGACGGCTGCCCCGCTGTTTCCAAGGTAACAGGCAACCGGTTCCTACCTCTTCCCCCCCCTCCGCTCCAATCACAGCCGCTTTTCATTCCCGCTTCATGCACGTCAATTAAGTAAAGGAAGGGTGACCGGCCTGCTGAGAGGCACGACTGTGTAAAATATCACAAAAATCCCCACTGACTTACATTAACATTCAACACTAATCCAGCTGCACAAGACCACGCTTTTCTTTAGCTAGTTCCCTCAGGTCCCCGCTCCCCTCATCGATCATCCGTCGTTAATGTGTGAATGTCCTGCAGATTCTGGAGCGTTCCATCAAGCTGCTGTTTGAGACTCGTGACATCAGCCAAGTGAAGCAGTTTGTGCAGCATCAATGCATGAAGGTTCTGGACGGCCGGGCCAGCATGCAGGATCTGACCTTCGCCAAGGAGTACCGGGGCAGCAGCTCGTACCGGCCCGGAGCCTGCGTGCCGGCCCTGGAGCTCACCAGGTGTGTGTGTGTGTGTGTGTGTGTGTGTGTGTGTGTGTGTGTGTGTGTGTGTGTGTGTGTGTGTGTGCGCGTGTGCGTGTGCGTGTGCGCGCACGCTGCAGAGGTCAGAAAATGCTTGCTGTCAACTACAGTTACAGTAGTCTGTGTGTGAAACCAATTGCTGCTTCCCCGCAATGTTCATTGTCTGGCTGCACTAGCCTGCATGTACAGTAGCTGAGTCTGTTGCTAGGCAACACGTCTCTTAATGGGCGGGAAAAAAAGGCATGGATCAGAGGGCAATATTGAGCCTCATTCATGAACAGCAGTCCAGTTTATGTTGTGTGTTATCCAGAATTGACTTAGTACAATATTTAACATAAGAACTCAGGGCAAAACCAAAAAGACAAACAAAAAAACACAGCTTTGATGCGCTTTGTCAAGTTTTGTTGCTTTTACGTCTTAGGCGCATGATGGCGTACGACCGTCGCCTGGAGCCCCGCGTGAGTGAGCGGGTGCCTTATGTGATCGTGTACGGGATTCCCGGTGTGCCGCTCATCCAGCTGGTGCGTCGGCCAATGGAGGTGCTGCACGACCCTGCCCTCCGCCTCAACGCCACCTACTACATCACCAAGCAGATCCTGCCACCGCTGGCCCGCATGTTCCAACTGATTGGGGTGGACATTTTTGCCTGGTACCAGGAGCTCCCCAGGGTGAGACCGACAGCAGCGAGAGCTTTTTCAAGTCAAAGAAATTATCAGGATTTCTTTCATAAGCGATGCAAATAGTGATTTACTGACAATACAACCTGCATGAGAATATAACGTCAAAAATGAAACCCACACTAATAAAACCAAAAACACTGGTTTCCAGTTTAAAATATTTAGGTAGTTGCTTCCCCTCCCTGTAGAAAATAAAGGCGGATGTTTACGAGGTCTTTTCTATCAGTCAATTTGGGTGGAGAGAGAACAAAGGACGAGGAGAAAGCCTCCTTCAAGCTGCCTGCTGAGGATTGAGCGAGAGAGAGACTCATCAGACCTGCCTGGATGTTTGTGTCAGTACTGAAGCCAGGTTTCTCTTTGACTGAGCACACCCGCCCTCTGCTGGTGGAGCTGAGAATAGCACTAAACAAAGCAGTGACAGACCAGAAGAGACTGTTTCACCATGTGATCCAAGCTGTATTTTGTCTTCTACTCCCAGTGCACTCAGACTCATGTTAACCCCCCCGTCGTCTGTACAGAGTCAGAAGGCGTCCTGCTCCTTGAGCGTGGGTGGAGAGGAGGTCGGGAGGAAAGGAACCATCTCCCAGTACTTCACCACCCTCCACTGCCCTGCCTGTGACGAGCTCACCCAGCTGGGCGTGTGCTCGCGGTGCCGCGCCGCGCCCCAGAGAGTCGCAGTGACGCTCCACCAGGACATGAGACTGTGGGAGTCACAGCAGGACCAGCTGCTGAAGGTGCTTTTAGAGGCCGGGGACACTGCAGAATAATAGATTATGGTATCAAGCTGCAGAATAAGTACTACTGCTTTCTCCCACGACCCCCCCCCCCTTACTCACAATAGTTGCCCAAGCATGCTTCAAATGTCTTTTTCACCCTCATATAAATATGTATTCGTATTATAACTGCTAGACACAAGCTGAGTGAGGAGAGAAAGGCGCTTTAGGATCTCGTTCGGGCTGTTCTGTTTCAGCCTTGAGAAGATAATCTCTCACACCCAAACTTATTTATTTTGAATAGCCATGTTATTTACGTTCAAGTAAACATTGTATGTATTTAGGTTAACAATGGTAACAATGTAACAAAGTAAGTTGTACTTACTGTAGACGTCAGTTTTTAATTACTAGTATTTTTCTTGTATGGTATTTTATACCGCATTTGTTCCAATAACATTTCCCAGGGAGTATTTTGCTGCGTAGATTCCACTATGGCTGCAGTTTTAGTATCTTTTCTCTTACAAAGAATATCGTTTACTCATATTCCTTTTTTCTCTGTTGCGCTTCACACATCATATCTAAAAATATAATCTAAACTTTCAGGGCTTCGGTACCAATCAGATTCCTTTCCGACTCAACCTTTCTGAATGGAAATGTGGCCTTTGCTTGACTATTGATGTCCTGTGTATTTTAGAACGTGTGTATATATATATATAATGTGTGTGTGTGTTTGCGTTTGCGCAGATCTGCAGGAACTGTAGCGGCTGTGCAGAGCGCCAAGTGCCCTGTGTGTCTCTGGAATGTCCTGTCCTCTACAAGCTGTCCCGGGTCAACAGACAGCTCTCCAAGGCCCCCTACCTCAGACAGCTGCTGGAGCAGTTCTGATTGGCTCCTGAAGCCCCCCCTCCCCCTCAGTGTTTGATTGTCCATTCAGTTGAAATAGTGCTTTGATTGAAGCCTGTCGGGGTTTCCATTTTGTCTTGTAACTGTTATTTTTATTTGTGCTACAAGTATTTTTCTGCGTGTGCAGAATGTCTGGTTTGAACCCCCCCACTCCCTCTCCAGGGCTTGTGTGTCTTGATGCTTGTTTGCTGCCATCTCCATTAGCTGCTATGAGCTGAGCGAGGTCCGGTTGAGGACAAATCGTTTGGTCGTTTTGTGCAGTGTACCAGTTTGAAGGAGTTCCTTTAAAAAACAATGACTTAAGTCTAAAGACAAACTACATTCAATCCTAATTGACTTTTCATTTTTATATCAACGGCATTTTTTTTTTTGTAAATAGTTTCTGTAAAGCTCCATCTTTAATCTCACTGTGCATTAGCATTAACAAAAAAGAGAACTAAAGCTCCGGCCATGAATGCACATCTGTTTTTACGCATCCTGTGTAAGGATGCCATTTTCCATGTTTCTAACTTTGATTGTATTAATATACATTTTGGCAAATTTCACACTTCATACTCTTAAGTGTGCGAACTGGAAACTATTTCAGTCTTTCCAAAAAATCTGGGACTGTTGCAATACTGTGTTGATAATTTATCTCATAAAAACTTGTTTCCCTTTGCATAAATATGGTTTTGTGTCAATTCCAGTTTTATCAGCAAAATAAAAAAATCAATCACATTAAGATCCAATTCTCCATGTACCTGTACAAATGTATAAAAAAGTAATGAAGATAGTGTTTTGTTTGTTTTTAATAGACATTGCTGTGGGAGGAGGTTTGAGATTGATATAATAAAAAGTCAATGTAATAAATCATTGTCAATGACTCAAGTAAATCTATTGAATGACATTGACACTTGATTCATAGATCCACAAGCCGTGGAACATTATACAAACAAAACGCTGGTCTTGACAAGTGCAACAACTATAATCACTGATCCTTCAGCTGCCACAGTGCAAAATGATTGGCTGTTTTTGACAAGAGTGGCCTGATGATTCATCTCATCTGCCCTGTCCATGTGTCTTCCAGCAAGAGACACTTGGAAACACACGCACACATTCAGTCCCTCTTCTCTCGGTCCAGGGAGAGCAGCAGTTTGCGTCTAGGGGAGTCGCCAACCAGGGGGGTGGTGTCTGAGAAAGCAGCTCCACCTTCCTCCGTGTTGGAGTCAGCACAGCTCCCTGTTGGACCGGTGCTGTGAGGAGGAGAGGAAGCCTTGCTGGGTGAGTGGAGACATGCTGCATCGTCCATTTCGATGACCTCAAAGTCAGCGTCGTTCCAGTGGTCAGCCTCGTTGTCGTCGTCCTCCTCCGCCACAGAGTCCAGCAGCGCCTGGCGGGTTTCACTGTCGTCTGCATCGGGCTGGCTCCTGGCGCGGGGCTTCCTGCTCAGGCTGCTTGGGGCCGAGGCCAGCTTGTACATGACTGGGAAGAGGATGGAGGTAAACGTGGCGGTGATTAGCGACAGGTACATGAGTACGGGCTGGTCGTGGAACTTCCCTAGCAGGAAGCCCACAAGAGCAGGAAGCACCATCTCGCCCAACGCCGCCCCCACCACAAAGGCGGCCGCGGTTCGCCCCGTCAACGTGGTGTACTGCTCCACCCAGGAGATGCCGCTGGGGAAGGTGGTGGCCATGGAGGCCCCGTACAGACCGCTGCAGACCCACAGGGCCACCCTCTCCTTGCTGAAGAGGCAGAGCAGCAGAGAGGACAGGGTGGAGCCCACCAGGCTGAGCAGGATCATGGTGCCCGGGTACATGCAGGCCGCAAAGAAGATGGCCAGCCCCCTGCACGCGGCGAACGCCGCCCAGAACAATGAGTTCAGCCCGGCCGCCTCAGACGGGTTCATGCCGGCGTAGTCCTTGGCGAAGGTGAAGATAAAGGAGCCATAAGCCACCTCGGCACCTACGTAGGAGAAGAAGAAGAAGAAGAGCAAGGCAATAAGAGCCACGTGATGTTTGGCGACCAGGGGCTTCGGCGCCGCCGACTCCCTGGCTCGGTCGCGTGCCCCGCCGCTGCGGCAGTAAAGGACGAAGAAGAGGAAGGCGACGAGGCAGATGTAAGAGCCGATCACGACATAAGCCCACATGGATTTGAGGGTGCTGCTGTGGCTGATCTGCTTTCCGTGGACGTCAGGCGTGGAGTTGGAGTTGGTCAGTGCGATTCCCGCGCTGCTGTTGGGCCCAAACAGCAGCTTGGCGATGATCGGAGACACAAAAGCCCCGGCCGCAAAGCTGAAGTGCAGCGCCTGCATGTGAGGACCCGCATGCTCGCCCCATGTATTCAGGATGAGGACGTTGCCACCTGACGGAGACAGGATGCAGTAGACGGTGATTAACGTATATAAAACGAATTATAATTGTGAATGTGCTCTTTTTTTCAGAAGGTTGAATTGTCATGGACACAGAAGTTAAGTTTGTCTTCAGGTATTGAAGGTCAAAGTCAAAATTATTATACATTTAATAAGGGTAGATCAAAGTGCTCTAAAGTACACAAAGGCAGGGTCCTGTTCCTCGTACGTGGCCAATCAAATGTCCCATTATCCAGCTCAAATCAACCCGACTTGGTTTCTCAAAGGCTGATCTGCTCTCTAAATCTTGTTAATTTGAACCAAACATTAGTCATCAGGATAATTGCGCGTGCATGTCCTACTTCAAAAGGGGGATCACTAAACAGTGGTTTTCTAAGAGTACAAAGCCAAATAAACTTAAAGGAAGAGCCTCTTTTTTCTCCGCTGATCATGAGCGCATATGAGGAGTTCAAGACCCGATTATGTATATTTGAATCATCATCGCTGACACTGTACAAAAATGTCAGTCGGTGAGGTGGTGTAAGACTTTAAAAGCTCAACGATGTGTGTGTGGTGTTCACCATGTACGAATCGAGAAATGATTGACGACAGCATTGATAGCGCTTGTAGAGTCATCGTGATGTTGTAACGGATAATCTTGGAGAACTCTCTCCCTATAAAACGTTAATGTTACTAATAACGCTCCTTTATCAATGCGGAAGGGAGCTGCCCTTTTTTTCTGGGGGAGAGGGGAGTTTTATCCAGCTGACTCAGCTTGCACCAGAGCATGTAATTGATAATTATCCGGCGAACTCAGTTGGCCATGTACGAGGAACATGGCGCAAGTTGGGTTAGATTTATAATAATGTGTGCACATAAATAAGTCACTGATGCCCTCAAACTAATATCTGGAAAGAAATCATCTCATATTGTTGAGAAGAGCAAAGATAACAGAATTGAGTTGTAGCTGTGATACACAAACGCAAGTATCTGAAAATACAGACTGTTAATCCCAAGAGAGCCGACTAGCTGCTAGTGGGCTGTTTAGGATGACATCAGGAACAGCTTGTGCATTCAGCAGTTACAGGTAGATTTGCTTCAGGGGTTGGTGAAGACCAAACAGAGCTAAAAGTAACGCGTGTCAAGGTGGAAACCAATGCGACTGCATGAATGTCTCCAGCTGTCAGCAAATTTTACACAGCGTATTGTTCTCAACGGAAAGTAGAGAAGGTCAAAACAAGTTCAAACAAGAAAAAGTTCCCAATACGTTCATCTAAACACATGGAGAGGAAACCCGCTTTCATCAGGTAAAATAATTCAGAGGTCTTAGGGGTGCATTGATTGTGTTGGAACTAATAATAACTACTAGCTAATTATATTATTATGGACTATATATGCAAATGTGTCGTGTTACCTGTATCCAGAATACCCATCGATATGCCGATGCTGGACATGAGCCCAGTGAGGAGCAGAGCCTGCTTACAGAAGGGGATGACACACATTCCAACTGACGTCATCAGCATGGAAAAACCTGAAAGGCAACACAATAAGAGGTTTAATTAATCCCTCTCTTTTATATCTACACCATATACGAGCCGGCTCCTCCTAGATGAAGGGTTACCTAGCAGGAGGTGGGGGTTCATGCAGTCGAAGAGAAGTCCACCGAAGAGGGAACCCCCGATGTAGCCCGCCGAGCGACCAACAAAGATGTAGGAAATATTGCTGATGTTCTTCTTCACATTCACAGCCAGATCCTCGAATGTGGGGCCGAGAACAGAGATACTCATCCCCTAGAAACACGGGAAAGCAGCAGGAGTTACAACGAGAGAGTATATTAACTGGTATTCTGCACATTAAAAAGGACATAACTACCCCTGGAAAACCAAACAAATGCTATATGTACCCAACTGTCAGAGGCCAACAGGTTGTTAATTGGTAAGAATAGCAATGGTGGATATTTACACTGGCCTCCTTGGTCACTACTAAATGGAACCAACACTTTCTGGCAAATTTACAGGACTTAAAGGTGCGTACAGTATGTAAAAGTGCAATAGCGGCTTTATGTATAAGCTGAATAGAGGTGAAGCAGGGTCTGTGTACATTTACAGAGGAGCAAGTTTTGCGTCTATGTAAATCTGTTGAGGATCCTGCAACATTCATTTGAGCAAACTGGGTGAAGCACATCGCAGACTGATCCGGCGTGGATGTCTGACCAGCTGCTTCTGATGCAGTAGAGGCCATCATTAAAAATAACGTGAAACGGTGGTATATTCTAGGGGTCGTCGTGGCGCAGGGGGTGAGCGCTGGGAACCGCAAGGTTGGTGGTTCGAGTCCCGACTGCCCCATGTCTCAAGTCGAAATATCCCTGAGCAAGACACCTAACCCCTAATTGCACCCCGGGCAAAATGTAAAAGTCATGGGTTTAAAGTGTAATGTAAGTTGCTTTGGATAAAAGCGTCTGCGAAATGACCTGTAATGTAATGTATTAAACAGGCAGCAGATCACTAAGGTTTGTGGACACTGGCTAAGAACACCTGTTTTGAGGTTAATTTTACCTTGTGGCCCTAGAATGAAGAAACAAAACATAGTCAACCTAACGGAATTGTGCTCCTTGCCGTGGCAGGGTATTAGCAGTATTAATATCTAACATGTACCACATTCTGGTGGCGTTAACTGAAGGCCGGAGGAAACTGACGAATACGTTTTCATGACACACGTCCCTTGGAAAAAGCTAACGAGTTACAGCAGTCCCTTCTACGCATACCAAGCCCAGAAAGGATGCACAGAGCACCAGGGTGACCATCCAGCCCGCTCCCTGTCCGCCGACCACCTCCGTCCGGCCGCCCGCTTCGCGTCCGCCCCGTTCTCCGCCGACCACCTCCATTCGGCCGTCGCTCCCCGGCTTCGCCCGCTTCTTGGCCGCCTTCAGCGCGCTCTTCAGCCCCCTCCCGGTATCCTTCCCCTTGTCGAACAAGGTGTCCTCCTCCTGGTCGTTGTCAACGTCATCGTTGTCCTCCATGCTGGCGAAGCGAACGTGCTTCTTTTTGACGGTGTCTCGCACGGCGGAGGAGGACATCCCCGTCGGTTGATCACGCTGCCGGAACACCGTTAAAGGCGCGGATGCGGCAGCGATCGCCGCCTGATGGCGGTGCTTCGGCTTCTTGACGATCTTCCGCGCTTCCTGTTTGTAGAGCTGTCGGTGCTGCGTCGTTCAGAGGTTTTCTTTGGACCCCGCTGCACCGGTCGCACGGGGGACATTCAAGATGGCAACACCAAAGGTAGAGCTGCTGGATCACATCGATCGTCTATTGACACCGAGTCTCACCTGGCGGGGAGAAATTACCCACCTGCTGAATGAAGCGAATAGTAGAACTAGACTGTGACTGGTCAATTCTCTCTAATTAGGACATGTTGGCCTATTATGGGGATACAGATAATATTACAGTAATATTCATCTACTAGGGATGCAATGTTGTGTGCTGGCGTTAATTGTAAGATGGCCCATGGGAGAGATCTCTGACACTACTGCTGCCTCCTTGTTAGGCACTGCTAAGCCTAGCACTGTGGTGTCTTTGATTGACATATTTTCTTAGATCATAAATCAGTTATTTATCGACTGCAGTGTGTATTAATTGCTCTAGGTTGGTTGGACAGCATGTTGTTTCTGTCCTCGACTGCAGTTAGATACAGCATCAGTGTTTACATTTCCAATATCTCAATTTACCAAAATTCGAACAGAACAATACTTGCAACAACACCGACGGTCAATTTGGGTTATTTTTTCCCTGAATTCAGAGCAGTGTGAGACCTCTTTGACACAGATCCGATGCTACAGGAAGTACCAGCCACAGAAGACATGGCGGCCTCTAGTGGTAAGAGCGACAAAGTGCAGAAATGGCCTGAAGCATCGGAGTTTATACCTGATATGAACTTTCTCTATCCTTAATTTACCTAGAAATATAATATTTGACCCCACATGAGATCACAAAGAAGCAGTCCTTAATCAGTTCATAAATCGGTGAGAGATATCTGACGAATCTCGGATCATGTTTAGTTTTACTGCACTTGCACTTAGCCCCACTTTATGGGATGTGTATTTATAGCTATGCTTTGCATCTATAGTAATAAAAGTTGATTCAACACTGAATTTTAGTGGATGTGTGTAGCTGCCAGTCACAATTGTGTAGACACAAATTAAGAGAGTCACAGAAAATGTAAAAACTTGATTTTTTCTTTTTTACTTCCTGGAGAATGCTGAAATTCTGATTGCTTTTACAAAATATTACATTTTGTAGTTCAGCCGCACATCTTGCAGTAACTAGGAAAGATAGAATATAGTAATCTTTTAGTAAAAACATTTTTGAGATTATGAGAGCATATAAAACAACAAAAATTAAGGAAAAATGCTGCTAAAAATGTATTCATTCCTATCTGAAACGTTACAGAAGTGAAAACAAAAATAAAAAGAGCCAGTTATGGGGGGTGAAACAATAACAGCAAATTCACAAAGAAAGGCTGAGGCGGACAAGAAAAGCAGTCAAAAAACAAACTTACGTCATACATGCACATCGTGACACAAAAAATAAAGATAGGGTTTAAGTTGAAAGGCAATAGATTCCATCATAACATTTAAATACATACATGGCTCTGAGAAAACATATTACAAATGCTCATTTGTTTTAAAGTTTAAAGGGCATTTAAGGTTCTAAGCAGTAAGCACTTCATTAAAGAGCAACGCTTTGGACGGCTAGCTTTGGGAGTTTATTTAGCTTTTCTTTTTTTGGGGGGTGGGGGTTGTTGCGAGTCACTCCGCTCAAACGTGAACGCTGCTGTCATGTAGAAAGAGGGACCAGCATCAGAGGTAGCGAGTGGCCCAGGGCACCAGAGGAGGGGCGGAGAGCACTATGAGGGAGGTGGCGCTGACAGCTCCGTGGGGGAACAGCAGCAGCAACCAAACAGGATTAACACACTTTCAGTAATTTTTGTACAATTTTGGTCTTTGTTAAATTCAGTTTAAGGCTTCAGGCAAATGCCAACTGCAAAAATATAAATAGAATATGAAAGCATTAAAAGCATGAAAAAAGCTCCTGCCTCAGAGGCTAACGGCCGGGGAAGAGAGAATTATTAACTTGACTTTACTGCCTAATGGTCACGTAGTCAAAAGATGCATGTGTAGTACGATGCCTATAGAGGTGAAGAAATACACATCCACCACTATTTGTTTTTATTGTTGGTCCTTTTAAGAGATCATCAGGAGATCGGTCGTTGACATGGCAACGGTTATTTTACGACCTACGGCCGCATTAGCTAATGGGCATGGGCACTTTACCATATCACGTCGCATAAGATGTGCTTTTCCCACTTCCCAGAAGCTCAACATTGTAAATGTGCGTCACACAATGAGATAGCAACTTTAAAAACTTTAAAATACTGCTTGATGTCAATGCAGACGTATACACAAACTGAGTAGTATTACATATTGGTAATGCTCTGGACTTTTGCAGTACTCTTCCTATATTTCATACATGTATTGAATATAACAAACAAATATGCAAGTTCCTTTATAGGTCAAAATCCAACAAGGATACAGCTTATCATTTTTTCAATTAATGTCTTTGGGACAGATCATACAAATGAGATAAAAAATATAAGGAGCAAGCTTTTACAGAGAGTTTTGGATAGAGCCCGCCTACCGGTTTACAGCGTGATGCTAAGCTAACTAGCCATATTTACTTATTTATTTATCAGTGGTATCGATTTTCTCGTATAACTGTGAACAAGAACGCAAAATTGGTCGAAATGTTCCTTCAAAAGACTTTCAGGTTTAACATTGGCGAGGGTATTTTCAGGCACACGGTTCCATTGTTCCATTGCAAGCAGCCCATCACACTACAATCAGTGCCATGTTCTACAAGGCCTCAATTCCGATGGACAGGCTCAAGCTCTCGTCTTGAGACAATGTGTAAAAAGTTTTAAACAAGAACGAAGAAATCATAAAGCTGCTTCCCTTGAAGTGTGCGAGCGCCTCTACGGCTCAAGCCACGAAGCCAGAGCTTTATGGCTAACTCTAATGATGACCTCTAAATTCCCCAAAGCACTCTGTGCGTCGCTTTTCTTTAAATACTATGAACAGATTACCCCTAGACAGTACTAACTTATTTGGCTTTAAGCGACAATAAAGATGGCAGGTTAGGGAGAAACCTTTAGCAGGTGGATTTGAGTCAAGTTACATTCCACACATCACACTGGGTATAATCAATTTAATTAATTTATATACTCTCATTTCTACATGAAAACTGACTGTAAAGACTCCTTTCCCTTAGCAAGGCCATCCCAAAGTTTTTCTAGACGTGCATCGGCAGCTTCTACACTGCATTGTGAGCACACCATGTCCTCTCTCCCTCTTGGCAAAAGAACAAAGAAAACATAAATAGTAGTCTCCGTTTCCATTTAAAACCTCTAAGTTTTCCCGTGTTAGGATTAGTTCAGTCAAACTATCTGATGCATAGTTTCTTGTTTGTTTCATCGCTTTGGCAAGTTTTGCTTCTGTCCTAAGGCAGTCGTTACAATCTCACTCCTGCTGTATCTCGGTACTCAGCGGTCTCAGTCTCAGTCTGTGTCTTTAGGTCGGCGGGGCTCTCAGAGGGTGGACTCTCTAGTCCTGCTCTGAGCTGCTTCCTGGGCCTTCCCGTTGTCGGCCATCTTCTCGTGCTCAATCATCTTCTCGGTGACGTCCGGGTCCCTGCTTATGGCCTCCTCCTTCTCCCTCCTCTTGCGCCTGGCCTCTACCCAGGGTATCAGACAGAGCAGAGCTCCTCCGAAGATTGGTGGGATTCCCGCCAGGTAGAAGGCCTCATTGTAGCTGCCCAGTCGGTCCCTCAGGAAACCTGGGAGCAGATGGATGGATGTATTCACCCGTCTTGGAATTCATTAACGAAATATAATATAATAATATCACAGATTCCCTCATTTGTATTATCCTTGTTGTCCGTTTTCTGAAATTCACTTGTTGAAATATATTTTTATGTATTGAATGTCATTTCTTTTCAACGTTATCTGTTCTTGTTTCAATGTTTTGCATGCTATTTGTAAAACACTTTGAGCTGCATTGTTCACATGAAAAGTGCTCTTTAAATAGTCGTTATCAGTTCAATTCCTGTTCACAATAACCTGCTTTGTGGGAAAATTAGGGATTTTGCTTGTAATTTACACCCTTCAAATTCAGCAATGGCAAAAACTGCAAGATGCCAAAATCCACGCTAGATGGTGCAAAAGAGCCGTGAACTGTAAGATAAATATGATATTCTCTTCTATCTCAGGACAGTGACTTGGAGCTGAGGGTCTGTTGACAGGATTAGCCATTTTTAAATGTGTTAAAAGTGTGTATATTTTTATACAGAAGATCTTATAGAATAACATTTTATATTTGTGCAACTTGAATAAAGGTTAAATTCTGCTGCGTAGACAATAGAAATAAATTATGAATGGTATTTACAATAATTAGGGAAATACTGACAGAAATACACAATTTAATTGTTAAAAGCTGGACAAATGTATATTAGGTTAATTTGAATTGTGTAAATGACAATTGCCTACTACTTCATTTTTTCAGTTGCATTATTAAGCATCCCGAGTGCTTTCAAATGATTTGATGTGATGGAAAACCCAAATATAATCTTCAGCTGATCGCAGGAGGGAAAGCCTCACTGCGAGCCAAGTCACATCTTCAGTCGCTAATTGCTCCTGAATTACCTGCGATGGGCGGTCCCACGGTCATGGGCACGGACATCAGGCCCAGCAGGAAGCCGATGGCCTGTGAAACGTCCTCGGCTCCGACCAGCTCGAAGGCGATGGGGGCCATGATGCTGATAAAACAGCCGTCGAACAGCCCCATCAGCAAGCACACTGCGATAAGTCCTCCAAAGATGTGGCACAGAGGGATCATCATTGACATAATGCCGATGACGAAGAAGGAGGTCACCTGGCGGGACAGTGGGGTAGCAAGTCATCTGAAGGCTCAATAAGCTTAAGCTTAGTTTTTATGTTGCATGAACTTCAGACGATCATCTGTGGCTGTTTTAAAATAATTAAAGTTTCACTGACATCAGAGTCACTTGTCTCTGTTTACATTTTAAAACCATGTTTAGTTCCTATGCTAACAGACAAAACCAAATGCGATTAAATTTCAGTTGGATTCTTAATATTCTCAATATTAGCATCAATGGGGAACTATGAGCAGCTTTAATAAACAAAAAGCTGCCATCAAAGGCTTCAAAAGCACGGCCACTAGCCGCAAAGCAAAGAAGTGACGAAGCATGTCACCCACGTGTGCTTCCTTGTGCCCGGAGACCCAGCACTGACCTGCAGGTAGACTTTGTTGACCCCGTTGACATAGTCCGCCGCCCTGCCGAAGATGAGACGGCCCACGCCGGACGTGATGCCGATGCACATGAGCAGAACCTCTTTACTGGCGTCCTGTCCAAACCGCTCCTCCACATGCTTCATCTGGGGACAGTTGGGAGGAAAAAGATGAACACGTGGCTCCAAGTCAAAGAAAAAAAAGGAATGTTGAAAAAGAGGAAACATCAAAATTAGCTGCATAGCTGTTGAGGTCTGTAGAAGTCAGGGATGAGGTATACTGAATATACGTAACTCCTGGTCAGGAGAGTAACAGCTGGCTGTCTAAGTGTATCAGGTTTAAAAAGGAGAAACAAGCAAAATTATTAATAATCCAGTCTGCATTTTGGGGGTTTTAGTTTGAGGTGTTCAACACGACTTCTGTGGGACTATCTGCTATCTATCCAAATTCTTTAGAATTTATAATGTTGTACTGGTTGCTTTGAGATCTGAGTGAAACGCTTTAAATCAGAGGTCGCGGACCCCCTGTTGAAGACCTCTGCTTTAAATCACTATAAAATCCAGTACATTTTATCTAAATGGCCCAACTTCACAGGGGCTTGAAAGAAATGCTTCACTTAGAAAATTTCCATTTGTATGTCAGTTACCATACATAATCTTTTGAAGGATACCTTTTCTTGAATGCCTTCATGGTGAACTCAAATGAAAGAAAAAAAGAAGATAAGCCATGACGACCTTGGGAAGCACTGAGCTGTGCAGTGCACACAATTGGGCAAATGAGACTTCAATCAAATTTGCACGAGTTGTGTGAGAGTTTGCAAACTGCTCATCAGGCCTAATGAGCAAGTATGCCGTTAATGATGCTGTCGCAAAAGCAGTTCATAAGCAGAAAATGATTTTACACCGAGGATGTGACCCTTTGCTGGGTGGCTATATTTTGCATTCTTTTTCCAGAAATCAAGCTGTATATGTGGGTTTGGTCTTGTGGATCCACTGCTCTGTGCTGTCTCAGCCGAGGTTTGTTGATGCTGCCTAACACCCACTGGTACCCTTATCCAACATATTTGAATAAGGGTACCAGTGGGTCCATATATCAACATAACTTTTTTAAATCTTTCATATTGGTTGCCAGTGAACGATAGATTCCACTGAAGCCTGTTAGAAAAGTAGCCCAGGTGTTCTTTTTCCACATCACTTGCTGTACTTCGTTCTTCCTGCCCCCAAAGCGCCAGTCTGTGAGGCCCAGAGTTTGAGAGCCAGTGAGAAAAGCAGGGCCCCCTGTGTGGAGCCCTGCCAGCTACTTTCGCCTCCAGTGGATGTCCTGCTCAAAGTGCCTGTCTGTCTGCCACCCCAATGCCCCACCTCTCACACATCCATACGCAAAGATCTCTGGATGACTTGTTTGTCATCTTGTTTGAATTGTCTTTGTCAATACGCCACAATTCTCTGTGTTAAAGAGTGCCTCGGTCCAAGAGGATTCTAGCATCCGAGAAGCATCTCTGCAGGCAGCCTGATGGCTCAAACACACACACACACACACACACACACACACACACACACACACACACACACACACAATCAAACCGCTAGCGGTGCTAGTCAGAGCTTACAAAATAAGGCAAAGTCCTGATAAGAAAGAAGCCTCTTCCTGCTCAAGTAGCCATGGCTCCACTATAGCTTTACACAGCAAATAGGTATTTGCCTCTACATTAAGGCCTTTCATATTGAACAGTTATTTACAGTTATTTTTTAATATTGAAGGGAATATCTTTGGGTTTGTTGACTGACAAAATAACCTAAATATTGGCAAACTAATTGAATACTAAATAACTATTATTATAACTATTATTATTTTAATAATAGTATTATTATTCTCTTGAGCAGGTGGTTCTTCATTTGAAGCCAATGTGTCACAGGAGACTAGGATCATATCGAGCAAATTAAGAAGTTAAGATAACAAGCACACCATCAGTCTAAGCCGGGGCCTGGGGCTAGGGAGGGTGGTGGTCTTTTATGTGGTTTGCAATTTTATGTTCTTGCATACTTATTTGAAACACTAGTTTAAAAAAAACTCCTATACGTTTTTAGACAGTTTCCTTCAATTTTAATATTTGAAGTAAATTTACTATAAAATGTGTATAATGTAATACAACTGTTAAGTGGAAGTGAAGTAATATTTTTTTTTATTTTCTTCGGGGGGTGGCGGGTCGTCGGATGGTCTTACAATATATGTATATATCCTCAAAGGGGGGCCTGAAAGAAAAAGTTTGGGAACCACTGGTCTAAGCAATGGCCGAGCTCTGACCCCGTTATGAGAGTCCTCTGGTCAGTCACATCTGTGAGGTGGAGAGTTCCTCTGCTATGATGTCTGTTTGAGTACTGTTTGAGTACAGTCGTGAGGAGAAAAAAAATTCTATAAAACACCATCCCGCTGTCATTTCTGTGTAAAGGCTGCGTGATGTTTAGAAAGAGACATTCCCTATTGAACTCACACTCATTCACACGCTGCATCGGATATGTATTTGAGGCTTCCTGCGATGTTGCATGTGGTCCGGTTTCATGTGTTTACTCTCTTCAAACAGATTAGATGGTCCTATAGATTCCGTATTGGTTATCTCACTTTACCATCCGTGTCAGCCTGTATCATGCACCAATTTACTACGGGGCACTGGCATTTTTACACCAATCCTCAGAATGACGGATATTTATTTGCATACTAAAGCATACAATACTACATTTCATTTTAACGATTATTGTTGCTCAACAAAGTTAGTGTTACTGTTAGTGCATAACACTAACAGCAGGGCGTAGTTTGTTGGTTTAGGTTGCGCACGTGTCTGTTATCGTGTTTTCAGAAGCACAACCTTATTTTCATGTGAAACGTGAGAAAACACACACTTTGCCAATTCTCCATGCCAAGGCATGATAGACAATGCTGCAGTCTGGGCACGATTGTTAAGATTGTGTCTAACCTGGAGCTCCCAAAATAAAAAAATATTCCCATGTAGCTGCTCGGCTTTTAACTGCTTTTCAAACTCCACCTCATTCCCCTCCGATTTAACCCTCTAACACTTTATGCAAGTGCCTTTGAGCAAAACAGAGCATGCCTGAACATAAAAGGGATCGTCCAGGTGTTTAGCATTGGGTTTCTAGGCGTATTTATCCATACTCAGTGTACTACCTACAGCAGAGGTCTTCAACGTTTTTCAAGCCAAGGTCCCCCAAACTGATGGCGAGGTGGAGCAGGGACCCCCTATTCTACGGAGTTTGGTCTGCCATCTTTTATTTTTGAGCTTCACACTCTTTAGACGTGAGCATAAACGCGATCTGATTGGCTGGTGCCTGTACTGTCGTATTCGCATGAAAGGAGCTGTGAGTGAACCGGTGCCCAGCTTGAGAGCTGCTGAGGGAAGCTGAATGTGTGTGTTGCGCACTGATGGATAACATCTTCTCCATCAATTTATCCGTTTGCTTCACTATGTTGGATTCATGTTAATGTGTATTTAAAGACCATAAATAAAATTCTGATTCTGAAGACATTTACATTTGTGGGGGAAAAAATTGTTTAAAAAAATTGTCTTATCAACCAAAGATTTCGCGACCCCCCTGCAGTACCTTCGCGGACCCCCTGTTGAAGACCTCTGATCTACAGTATATGGCGGGTGGCAGGAGAAGACGATACTAAGCCCTTGCACAGCAGCAAATCAAAAATAAAGGCACACCTACACAAATAAAAAAAATGCATATTTAAATCTTCCGTTTTGGTTTTTCTATATTTTCCCTTGTTTGGCATCTTGTGAGAAAGCAATACAGTCTCCACAGCTTTCTCATAACAGGTGTATTTAATAGCATTATTGATAAAGCACAGCAAGCGTTGAATCCATAGCTGCTGGGATTAACATGACATTCTATGTTTAGCCAAACACACAAATAAGAAGAGCTGAATCATAAAAAGTGCCACATCACAACGGTGCACTTTAGGGACGCTTTAGCGGTGTGTTCTGGGAGGAATTTTCCCTCTTGGAGCCCCGTGCTCCCTGCCCTCCCATCCTCGGCTGTTTAATGGCCATTAAACATCCAACTCCCTTCAGGCCCACGCAAACACACCGCAGCGCTGCAGGTGCTCCACACTAAAACTAACTCTCCCTTTTGAGTAGAGTGAGCTTTTTCACCAAAAAAAGAAACACCCTTCACCATGATGCTAATGGGAATCTGTTGCAAGGAGGACACATGTTCCTCACCTGGCTGATGTTCAAACTTTCCTGTGTGCTGTTCCACAAGACACCTTGAATCAGCCGGAGCATTGAGCAAACACAGCTGTACTGCATCTTATCTCATCTTATCTCAGATTAGCAATAACTGGAAAGGTGTGTGTAAGTGTATTGACCTATGTACAGCTCAATATGGAAAGAGGGAGAAGTAACAAAACCCCCCCCAAAAAAAGGCCATGTGGCTCTAAAAGGGTGAAAGAGTCAGTAGGGCACGCAGAAACACCGGGGTGGGTAGTAGTGGAAGTTTCAAGGGCCCGCTTCTTGACAGGCTGAACAATGTGCTACTCTGACCTGTATTTTTACCCTCCTTTCTCTTCCTAGACAGTGGCCTTAAGAGCAGGCAGGGGGGTGTTGTATCTAGAGAAGGACGGGTACCGGGGCCATATGGGCAGTGGAGGCACTGAGGCTGCAGCTTAGCGCTTCCACACCTCCTCCTCCACAGTGTCCCACTCTGCAGTAGCAGTCACGTGTTGGGAAAACACATCTTGGAGGTCAAGGCTGGTGTCCCTATAATAACAGTCATGGTGTCCAAATAAACAAGTCGACCCCCCCCCCCCCAGAGGCCTGTCAACACTTCCAGGCTCCCCTGCTCCCCCAGATGTCACATCTTCCCGTCTTAGAGCCAAGGTCAAGGGAAGATTCTGAGGAAAGCAACACCTGCAGCGGATGGAGCCGCTCCCGTCACTTTGGTTAGTTCAACTCGACACAGAGTCTCTGCTGCTGGCTCGAGTCTGCTCGACTGAGACCACAAGGCTATCCAAGCACATAGAAACTGTTTTTTTGTTTATGCAGATGTTGAGACTTTCCGCTTAACAATGAGGAAAGCAACACCTGCAGCGGATGGAGCCGCTCCCGTCACTTTGGTTAGTTCAACTCGACACAGAGTCTCTGCTGTTTCCGCATAGAAACTGGTACAACGGTCCTAATCAAAGATCCTGTGAATAATATTTGCGATGTGTTCTTTAGGTCAAAATTTACTGCAAACAAATCATGGAAAATCCTCAGTGACCTCTGGCCACTTTAGGTGCAGCATAGAAAAGGAGGGCTTCCCACAGGTTGGGAGATTTTATAAGGGTGGCCAAATAAATGTAAAAATGTTCTACCCAATTGTCTTTCATTTGATTTTTATAGCTGCAGTACAACCAGCCACACAGGGTTCTGTAGTTCCATAACGTTTTGGATGCCGATAAAAGACAGCCAGATGATAACATCTGTTTATGTTTTATTGAGTGCCAATCTTTTCATATGGTCACACAACAAGATGGATATCTATTCATAGATAGACCATTTGGTCTTCAAACATATGGAGACCAAAGTGAAGACCAAAGTTGGTTAAATTGGAGATGCTGATCTCTTCACTAAGGGCTTGTAAACTATTTATGAGACAGGTTGGTTTCACAAGCAAAATAAAGATTAGAACGAGACAGAAATTGAGCAACTTTTTCCGCACGCACCGCTTTGCACACTTGGGTTGGTAAGAGTGGGGTAACGTTTTACTATGGTGAGAAAAAAAAAACGCTAGATAGATAATTGCGTGACGTACATTTTTTTTTTTTTGTCGGAATGTGAGTCCAAATCTCGTTGGCCTTGGTGTGAAAGGATTCCACGGGATCGTCCCTGTATTTTGGTATTTTCTTTTGCGTTGTGGAAGGGCCTCTGCAGTACACTCTGAGAGTCGCGACCCATCTCGCTGACTACCAGGGAGATTCTGTGGTTCACAGTTCCCTTCCTCTCCCTGCTCACATTCATAAATCTCACATTGCAAGTATGTGTTTTGATATGTGTGTTGTTGAAGCTCCCTCCTTGACCTCCTACTTATTCCTCCCGCCGTGCCAACGAACACTTCGAAAACATCGGATTAAGATACTGGGAAATCACAGCGTGGAATTCCTCCTTAGACTGACCTCTGGCTCCGAGAGCGGTGTGACAATAACCAGCAAACGCAAACGACATGTACACATGGAGAACAGCGGATGAATGAAGATGGTATGCAGGGGACACAAACTCACCAGGTGAACATATGGCACGAAGTAGCCGTAGAGGGCCGCTGGGATGCCGAATGCCCAAATGCGATATCCCAAGGACTTCCAGATGTTGATGTTGAAGATCTTGCTAATTGGCGGGCACCGGCGGCCCGTGGGGGTATTGCTGGATTTGACGGGCATCAGGGGCTTGTAGGTGAGGCCGGCCAGCATTAGCACGAACATGAGGATGCAGAGGACGCGCATGGTGTTGTGGAGGCCCACTTTGTCCAGCAGGTGGGACAGCGCGAAGGGCAGCGTGATGGTGAAGGCACTGCTGCCGGCCGTCACGATGCCGTTCACCAGTCCCAGGCGCTTCTTGAAGTAGTGACCTAGGATAACCAGACTGGGCTGGTAGGCGAAGGAGCAGCCGCAGGCGAACACAATGCCGTAGGTGAAGTACAGGGGGCCCAGGGACCTGAGGTGAGGGGAGTTCAAAGTCACTGACGTTGATGTATTTACAAGAATTTGCACATTTAAATGCTGTTTACATAAAAAGGGTATCTATGCTGCCCACAGTAGCAGAGGATTATGGTTTTCTGTCAACAGCTTGTTAAAATCCAGTGTTTCCCTTACCATTGAAGAAGGGCACTGCAATCCTTTATTTTTCTGGAGTATGGAGGTCAAATTCCAAAGTGGTTGGTGAACGCGGTACCCAATAATTTATATAGCTAATTACTGTATACATAAATAAAATGTATTTGTCAACTGAGCACTGCCATGTTCAATTTTATGCTGACATAGGCTAGTCTGTTTTTAATACTCACAATTATGCTTTTAATGCAAATAGAATCAGCAAGCACTGGAAAATTGGATTGACAGCGACAGACTTTGATGTTGATTTCACTAATATTTTAATAGTATTTATAAATACTATTCAGTGGTTTTGTGACAATTGCTGTTTGAAATTTCAGGTTTAATCAAAAAATATATTTTTTAATGTGGCTAACAATTATTTATTTATTCAAACAACACAATTGGGCTGCTAGGTGAATAGAAGAAGAAGCCATTTTTATTACCAATTATTATGTTACATACATACATACAGGAAATTGTTCTCTGCATTTAACCCATTCCACAGTGGGAGCACCGAATAGCAGTTAGGGGTTAGGTGTCTTGCACAGGGACACTTTGACATGGGACATGGAGCAGTCGGGGTTTGAAAAGCCAACCCTGTGATTCCCGGCGCGCCCACTCTACTCCATGCGCGCAATGGGTTTCTTCCCCCAATTAATAATATGGACAGTGCTTTTGGTCCAATGATGATTCAGCAGAGTCTGGCTTTATAGAAACAGTGAGATCAAGTGACTAAGATATTTTGCACCTTGCACTGTGCAGAACTAGTGAGCATTGACAGTGAAATGTGTGTGTGTGTGTGTGTGTGTGTGTGTGTGTGTGTGTGTGTGTGTGTGTGTGAGAAAGGGTGCTTGGCAGCTACTTGATAATAATTCAACAGTTTAATGACTTATTTATTGCACTTGAAAGTAGTAATGTCAGGTTTGAACACTTTGTTTTGCCACCTTGCTGGGTTTACACATTTCTGAGTGTTTCTTCATGTGTACGCGTATCAAATTCCAGGTAATTATTAACGAGTGTCAAGAGCAGAACCACTTACCCACTGGGTCCAGATAACAGCTAATATATATTAGCTCCCTGCTCGGCAGCAGACAGCCTCAGTTAGAGGCTAGCTGGGGAACATCGTGGACCATTTAGCAACTAATGTTCCATAACCAGATTTTTAAACAAGCAACTGTTTGTAAACAAGTGTGCCAGTCAAAAGGATTTCTAAAAGCCTCATTTTACCTGGTTTATCATCAAAACCCTGGTCATTCAAACTGGACAAAAGCAATACATTACAACTCTCTTGCTTAGTCCTTACATTGTTCCAACAATCATATACTCTTGTTTGGATAAAAGTTACCCTAAAGTCACAAAGTTACATGTCAGAAGCAGGCATTACGTGCGCTCCTCAAAGTTACAATTCAGCGATGAAAGATACCGTTCTTCACCTCGCCGCTTGTTGAGAAGCATTTTTCACTCAAACTGAATGAAAACAAAATGAAAGTATTGTGTTAGTCTTCCCACTCTTCCAGCAATAGTCATTGTGGTTTCAGAGCTTCACAGAGAGACTGTGATATAAAATCAGATATAAAAAGACCTAACTACTTTTCTCTCCGTTGGGTTTTCGTTATGTGGGTTTCCTGTTTTATTTGGAGTCCCATGCTCACTTTACTTCCTGCTGTTGTCGTTGAGGCTGAGGCTGTCCTTATGTGTCAGATGCACCTCCCTGGTGTATTCAAACCATGTGTGTGTTTTTTCTTCTTTTTCGATTATTAAAAAACAGCTTGAGCACCGCTCTGACCTCGGTGATCCTCCACCACTTTGTTTAAAAACCCTGCTTCCAGTGCCACACCGGAAAAGAAACAAAGGAAAGGCCCCCGAGTCAGATTTGATTTTTTCACCTAGTTGATGGTTGAAAAGCTTAGATGACAAAATTACACATGGCTTGAGAATAAACTCTCTATAAAGCCAGACTCTGCTATAAAGGCCTGAATCATCATTGGACCGAAAGCACTGTCCATATTATTAATTGGGGGAAGAAACCCATTGCGCGACCGTGGCGCATGGAGTAGAGTGGGTGTGCCGGGAATCGCAGGGTTGGCTTTTCAAACCCCGACTGCTCCATGTCCCATGTCAAAGTGTCCCTGAGCAAGACACCTGACCCCTAACTGCTATTCGGTGCTCCCACTGTGGAATGGGTTAAATGCAGAGAACAATTTACTGTATGTGTAACATAATAATTGATAATAAATAAAATGGCTTCTTCTTCTATTCACCTAGCAGCCCAATTGTGTTGTTTGAATAAATAAATAATTGTTAGCCACATTAAAAAATATATTTTTTGATTAAACCTGACATTTCAAACAGAAATTGTCACAAAACCACTGAATAGTATTATTATAAATACTATTAAAATATTAGTGAAATCAGTGTTAACGCAAGTCTGTCGCTGTCAATCCCATTTTCCAGTAGGGGCAATGGGAAAGGAGTCCATCGCTTATGTCAAACGGGACCAAAGGCGTATCATATTTACTCATTTTGAATTGAACAGCTTTCAGTCCGTCCTTACGTGACAAAGGAGCTGGCTAGCAGGCCGACCAGGCCGACAGCAGCGCCGCCCACCGCCGTGATCCTGCAGCCCAGGATGTCGGTGAAGACGCTGACGATGGGAGAGCAGAAGAAGATCATCCCCATGGAGAGGGATCCCACCCATGCTGCAAGAGGGGAAAAAATGGGAACGTGTAAGTGAGAGCGGTTATCGTTTCACATCCAAAATACAAAGAGAAACAGCCCCGTCTAACAGTAATGCTGAAGATAATGACACAAAACAAAGCCTGGTTATGCAATAATAGAACACACACACACACAAACTCCCCCACAGATGTGTTACAGGTCTTTTCATCTTTTTTTGTAGATCTTGTTCATTAATCATACTGTACATTGTTAGTGTTCTAATCCAATTTTTCTGTGTCATTAAGAGCCAACTCGCCTTTCCTACACCGAGCGTACACTGACAAGAGCAGCAGCAGGAAAAAACATTGACGGGTGACAGAGTGGACAGGAACGAGTGATCTACAACTTTGGCCCGGTCCCAAGTGCACAGATACCATGGTGATCACTTCAACCTGTGAGGTAGAACATACTATACATCTCACTTAACTTCCTCAAGTCCTCAAAAATGACTCAGCCAACAAACCGAGGTCTAGCAATGTCTCTAAAATTGGAACCAACCAAGTTCCTTCATCACCTTCAATTTAACATTACCATAAAGCAGTCCAGCATGTTGTAACACAACCAGAGACAATACAGGTATTTCAATGTAATATCCACCACAATGGTTGACGCATATTTGACACACATATTGGTTAGCTTATGGTTAGAGTGAATCATACACATATATGTAATATGGTCGGGTTTCTGCGGCTCTGGAAATGAGTTTGAACAAAATGCCAATGGTTGAGAAATGTGGGATGGACCGTTTTTGGAATTTTCCCATATTTTTTGCCAATCCTCTTTGAATGTATTAATGCTAAATATTTTAATATTGTATATTATCATTTGGTACTGCTTTACTTACCGAATTCTGTAAGGCTGCCATTTTCTCACGCAGAAGAAATTACACAAGACCATTTCAGGCTAAAAAGGCTTCTTCTTGGGTGACCAAAGGGAACACCCGCAGTGTTTGCTCAATGCTTGCTCAAAGCACTGTCAGCAGTGCTCTGTGAGTGTAAAGGTGAATACCACTTTCACATGCTGTAGCAGACGTCTAACTGAGGTATTTTAAGATACCGAGGCTTTCATTTACACTAAGGCATATTGGCCATTCTTACAAGGTCACAGCACTGCAGGGCTGGAAAGAAAATAAGAACAAAGACAGAACCCATTGTTTAGAGTCGATCCAAGGCCAATTGGCCGGTGGAAATGTGCAGCTGAGATATTCTGGAAACACCCGTCCCCTCTTAAAATACTTTGACATTATTACATTACATGTCATTTAGGTGACGCTTTTATCCAAAACGACTTACAATAAGTGCATTCAACCATAAGGATACAAACTCAGAAGAGCAAGAAACAAGAAAGTGTAATTTCATCAAATAAGCCAATTTACAATTGCCATTATAAGTACAATTTAAGTGATACAATTTCTTAGTCTTTTAGTATAGGTAGAGTCTGAAGAGGTATGTCTTTAGTTTGCGGCGGAAGATGTGAAGGCTCTCTGCAGTCCTGATGTCATCAGAGCGCTCGTTCCACCATTTCAGAGCCAGAGTCGTGATCTTGTGTTTTGTGTTTCTTACAATTATGCCAGACGCTGTAGTCTGCAAAAATGCCCCACATTTAATGGGATCCTCTCTGTCAGATCTCATATTTGTTGGGATATCAGCTCGCTTTAAGCAACATAATGCAATAAGTGGCAGTGAACAAAGAAAAGCAAGGAATCCCTCAAGGACAACAGGAAATTGCTGTTGTGGTTTCATCTACAGGCTCTCTCGATTTAAAAGCATTTACTCTTCAGACAAAGAGGAATTCTCGATTTAAAAATGTAATATAAGGATTCCCTCTGTCCCAGGGATGTCCACCGTTTGCCGCAGGCCCCCGCTTTGACACTCACAGGCGAGGCGGAGTTGGCTTAAGTTGTCTGTCTGCATCGTTGAGGACTCTTCTGCTGTGAACCCGGTCACCCCACAACGAATGGACCTACAGCCATGGACAAGGCACAAAGCCCAACAGACACAAACAGCTTTTTGATCATATTATGCGGACACTGAACACTGATCCCGAACATCTCGGTTTTCAATGTAATATCCACCACAATGGTTGACGCATATTTGATCTCGGTTTCCTGGGCTCCATCATCACCCAGGACCTCGAGTGGGAGCTGAACATCAGCTCCATCACCAAGAAGGCTCAGCAGAGGTTGTTCTTCCTGAGGCAGCTGAAGAAACTCAACCTGCCAAAGACGATGATGGTCCACTTCTACACGGCCATCATCGAGTCCATCCTCTGCTCCTCCATCACCGTCTGGTACGCTGCAGCCACAGCCAAGGACAAGGGCAGGCTTAGAGGGTGATCGGCTGCAATCTGCCGTCCCTGCAGGACTTGTTCGCTTCCAGGTCTCTGAAGCGAGCTAAAAAGATCGCGGCCGACCCCTCCCACCCCGGACAAAAACTGTTTGTGCCCCTTCCATCTGGCAGGAGGCTGAGGTCCATCAGGACTAAGACCTCCCGCCACACGAACAGTTTCTTCCCGTCGGCAGTCGGGCTCATCAACAGAGCCCGGTCCCCCACTGACTGACTATAACACTCCACCGGTCACTCCCCCTCATACTGCACATGCCACTTTAACTGCAATTCACCACTTTGTCTCTTGTCTGTTACTTGTTCGTTAGTGCACTTTATGCTTAATATTTTTCTTTTTAACTTTTTAATATTTAAATTTTTTTAACTTTATTCCCTTGTTTTATACTAACCCATAGCCTTAGCCTTATTCTACTAACCCATTGCATTAGCATTTCATTCCACTTTATTTTATTACTTGTGCACTGTTGTCTTGTCTGTCTACTGTCGCGCACTAACCACCAAGACAAATTCCTTGTATGTTTGACATATTTTGGCTAATAAATGTTTCCTGATTCCTGATCCTGATCATTTTTACTTTTGTATGATATACAAATGGAACTATCAATTGTCTATAAATTACTGTAAGCTAAATAGAGTGGAGAGAGCTCATACTGATCATGGTTAAGGTGATCAAAAACCTTCGGACAGAATCGTTATATAACGATTCCTTGAGTAAACTATATTATATCTATAGAACTGTAGTGTGTTATAGTGCATCTCAATTTCACACAGTTTAACTTGAATTTAGGTTACTATTTCTATTTATAATTATTCTTTTAGGTACCCATTTCAACTGTTTATTCATTCCTTTTAGCTAACTAGGGTTGACAACCACTGTCCGAGAAAACAGTGTTTCCCCGACTACTATAACAAGACCCCCCCCTTAAAAAGTGTGTAGTAGTTGCCCACGCACGGCAGCTCCACACTGACATGAATATGTTGCGAATCTGTCCGTGTGGCGCTCACAGCAGCGGGGCCAGAGAGCACCAGAATGACTACTCCCCCCAATTGGCCAAACCATCTGCTACTACTCCACCCTGAAACATTGGGAAAACACTGGAAAATGAAGACTGTGGACGAATGTGTAGAGCACATAGAGGCCGTCACGAATCCTTGATGACTTCCCCTGGATTAAAGCAGCTGGTTGGAGAGTTACATATTAACCAAAGTTAATGGGAACAGCTAATGGATGGGCATACTTGGCTGATGTTGCAGCTGTGTGACAGACCACCTGGCAAATAAACAACTTGTCCCTGTAGCACATTCTAGGAATCTGGACATGCTCAGGCTACGATCTAGTGCCGCACAAGAGACCACTTTAGAAGCCTGGACGTCACATGCTGTTGTAGGAGAATACAAACACAAGCCGAGAGGAAGAAGTGTTAATAAATCAACTGCTCACGCTGCCAACAGACCAGGAGCAGAAGCAGATGCTCATCTGTGTCATTACAGCATTGTAATGGAAAATATCTACTTAGAATTTCTACTGAATATATTGTGTAAATGCTTAAGCGCCTGTATTTTTGCTCTGAACTCTTTAGAAACCTCCCTTTGAGTGAGCGTACATACTTCTATGTATCTACCTGTCTGTTTAATGGAAAATTAAATATCTTACACACATTCTTATAAAATAGGACTGTTCATAACGTGTTGTGTTACAGACTCATCATATGCCTGTATTGTGATCCATGCAGCTGACTGCCTATACACAGGTCCTCTTCTTCTAAACTGTTGGATAACAAGTACTTATTGTATGTTCCCATGTTCTACGCCCTAAGGATGGTCCAGTACACAGGCCCCCACCCTTTAGCACTCTCTTTATCTCTGTATGAATTCTAATCTATAGTGCACACTTATGCAAACTCTTTGTGCCTGTACAACCGTGTCTCTTCTTGCAGGAATACAATATAACATTTCAAAGACCAGTGAATGGCATTTCAACAATGTACTGGTAGAAATGGATAATGAATATTAAACTTTTTTTTCTTCTTTATTTTAAAATAAAGAAGAAAAAAAGTTTTAAAAAGTCTAAATAGAAGGATTGGGTACTTCTGTTACACTCTCGGCACACAGGAGAAATTTGCCACCACATCACTTGTCGCCAAATTGTACACATTCTTTTTAATCATACCTAACTAGAATAACTGAGAATAAAATGAATGGAATGGTCTGTCTTTGACTGGAATTAAATGGAATATTCTTCTACAGCATTTTCAAGTTTTAGCTATATGTAATACAGACAAACCTTCCCAAGGAGCCACAGAAGACTAAATACAGTAATATGCACTGGCTGAGCAGTACTCCTCTTGCGTACTCATCTTATCGAGAAAATTGGTGGCATTCCCCTTTAAGAATGATTCCAGTTCAAACTGTCTTTTCGCATTATCGTAACTGCATTATCGTTATTGGCACAGCGCCTTAAGGTCCCACCCACATTTGATAAAATTGGATCTTTAATCATCTCACCTGCAACAAGCAGGAAAACTAGTTAGACTGGCCGAAACAAAGAAAAGATTCTTTCATGTGACGCCCGACTTCCTCAAGAGATTCTTGCAACTATTGACAGCTCTTAACTTCAGGCCTGTTGACAAGCTTCC